TTCATGCTGTGACACATGACCTGGCCCCGGCCCCACAGCTTAGCTTACCTATTCTGTCCTGCCCCCAGGCCCTTCCTCCCCATGCTCTCCTCCCAAAGGCCCGCCACACACCTATCCATCGGGGGTCGGCTCTTTCTCAGCCCAGGTTCTGGGTGTTGAAACAACATCAGAAAAGCACAAGGAGATTATTTCCTGTGACCTGATTTTATAAAAATAGACTTTATAAAAAGAAGATGAGGACAGGAGTGGTGTCTGCTCACCTAGTAGTTACTCTAATTATAGACGGTTGGGTGTGACGGGCACTCTTACTGGGTGACATGAGGGTTGCGTCAGACAGGATGTCTCCTTCCCAACTTCCCCTGGTAATGCCCCCATGGGCAGCTTTAAATGACAACCCGATGGTTCTGCAAATGGGGCGCCTCCCTAAGAGCTGAATGGGGCGGCGGGGGGGGGGCAATTTTGTATTCCCAAGGATGTTCCAGTCCCACAGCCCAGCTTGATTCCCCCGAGATTTGCTGACTTGCTGTTTCTCTAGGGATAATGGGCATTTTGTCTGGGGGGGAAATAGCCACTGAGACATTCTCATTTGGAAAAAGGAGAAAAAGCCTTATTCCCATTACAGAACAGTGTTGTGTTCACGTCCCCTGTCCCCCCCCCCAAAAAAAAAATATCTTCTGCTTCTGCTATTTAGCAGTGAGATTTCTGTTCCACCAACGTGCAAGGGTTAGGATGATGTAAATCCAACATTCAAATTAGGAGCTTCCACTCCCATGGGACCTAGAATTAGGCCTGGGATTTAAAAACAAAAGCGGAGCCTGACGATAAATGAATTCCGCACCTCTGAACTGAGTTGTTGCCTTTCTTTGGCTATTTATGTGAGTGGACATCTGGGAATTGTTTTTTTTTTTTTTTTTTTGAGATAGGAGTTCCTTTTTATTGATGTGGTGGTGGGCTCTGCCGAGCAGCCCCTTTACGTTTAAGAGCATTTTCCTTCTGTTCTTCTTCCTGCACCTTCTGCTGCTGCTTGAGCTGCCATGCCTCTAATCCAGCATCCATTTCCTGTGACAGCAGTACTACTCGTCTTGCGAATTTTTCTCTTTGGGCTAGTCTTCGAAGCTGGCCTTTCATCGGAGGAGCAGGGCGGCCATCCGAGTAAGACCAGTCTGGAAGCTCTGTCAGGGGCCCATAGTCTGTAGCCCGAGAGATTGGCAGCCATGCCCTGCTGGAATCTCCACTCACTCCCGGCCCTCGCCACCGCCCTGCCGTGCAGCCTCCGGGCCCCTGTGCGGAGCAGGATACCTAAAGCAGCCATGCTTCGGGCAAGGGACCGAAAGTCAACATCTGGGAATTTTAAAAAATATATATGTATTATTGATTTTTTTACAGAGAGGAAGGGAGAGGGAGAGAGAGTGTCAGAAACATTGGTGAGAGAAACATCCATCAGCTGCCGCCTACACACACTTCCCTCCCCTCACCCCCCTACTGGGGACACGCCAACAACTAAGGTACATGCCCTTGACCCAAACAGAACCTGGGACCTGTGAGTCTGCAGGCCGATGCTCCATTCACTGAGCTAAACTGGCCAGGGCCATCTGGGAATTTTTGTTTGAGGGTGGAGCTCCTCAAAGAGGCTGCTTATGCCTTTAACAGATGTCACACCCTGGCCCTCCACAAACCACAGCCAGTCGGCTGGTGTATTTAGTTTGGTCCACCTGGTGGTTTTCTGTAAAATAAGAATCAGTTGTCAACATTTTAAACAATAGTTTTATAGAAAATAAACAGGCTTATATAAATATAGATTAATATAAATATAGATTTATATAAACACACTTATGTAAAAATATAGATTTCTGAATTGTCTTGGGGAAAAAGTAAAACCAGATGAGGCCCTAGTTGGTTTGGCTCAGTGGATAGATCATCTGCTTGCAGACTGAAGGGTCCTGGGTTCAATTTCAGTCAAAGGCACATGGCTGTTGGCTCGATCATCAGTTGAGGGCGTGCAGGAGGCAGCCAATCAATGATTCTCTTTCATCATTGATATTTCTATCTCTCTCTCTCTCTAAAAAAAATAATAAAAAAAATAAATCAATAGAAATATTAAAAACAAAACAAAGCCTGGCCAGTTTGGCCCAGCGGATAGAGCGTTGGCCTGCAGACTGAAGGGTCCTGGGTTCGGTTCTGGCCAAGGGCATATGCCTGGGTTGTGGGCTCGATCCCAAGTAGGGGTGTGCAGGGGGCAGCCAATCAATGATTCTCTCTAATCATTGATGTTTCTATCTCTCCCTCTTCCTTCCTCTCTGAAATCAATCAATCAATATATTAAAAAATAATTAAAAAATAAAAAATAAAAACAAAACCAAACCAAACCAGATGAGGCAGTCCTGAGTCCTGAGATGTTATTTTCACTTGGGTAGCTGGTGGATGGTGAGCCCAGCAGGAAACTTACAGGGGGATCAGTAACAGGAAGGGTGGGACCAAGATGACCCGTTTTCTTCCATAACTACCTCTCCAGGCCCGAACCTCAATCCCAAGGAACATTCAGTTCTGAAGCGAAATGCCTCTTCCTAAATACCTCCCCAAACAGCAGAAAGCAGCACATCCGGGCTGCCCCTTTTCTAACCACAGAATCAGCTTTAGCCCGCCCCTCCTCCTGCCTGCCACGCCCCTTCCCCATCTGTCACCAGGCCCCATGGTGTGTCACATGGCCCTTAACGTCTAGCTAGTATGAAATGAGATGTGCTGTAAGTGAAGAAGACACACTGGGTTTTAAATACTTATGCAACCATTATCATCATCATCATCATCACCATCACATCATCATCTAAAATAGCTGATTAATCATTTTACATTGATTACCTATTAAGATGGTATTTTTGACATCTTGGGTTATATTAAAATGTACTTGCCCATTTCTTTTTGCCCTTTTTAAATGAGGCTTCTACAAAATTTAAAATTCCATATGAGGTTCACAGTGGCTCACATTGTCTTTCTGTTGGACAGCACTACCTCAAAATATCTCTTGGTGTAGAGGTGCTTATTATTGTTACAGGGCAATCATAATGCAGTATATAAATGTGTCAAATCAACATGTTATACACCTTAAGTTTATACAACGTTACATGTCAACTATATTTCAATTAAAAAAAATATCTCGAGTTTGTCCTAACCTATTTGACCTTGCCACCATCCAATAGCAGAGTAATATCTCACAGACCTTCACTTCTAGAATATCACATTAGTTTAGGCTTCCCCTACCCCTTCTAATCTGTTTTGCACACCCTGGCTGAGTTTATCTGACTAAAACACTGCTTTTATCATGAAACAGTCCTGCTCAAACATTAACACCAGCTCCCAATTCTACTCCACGAAGTCCAAACTCTTCGTAATAACAACTTCCACTTTTAAAACCTGTTCAGCACTCCGTGCGGTTCTCCCAGCAACCTAGCACCTAGCAGACCAGACACTTGGTTTTCTAAATAGAATAGAAAGGACTGAAGCTTTTGCCTGAGCTCGAGGGCGAGGGAACACATCTTTGATCTGAGAGGTCATAAAGATGATGCAGTCAAAGCATCCAAACAGCAGCTCCTTCCACTCAGGATGCTTATGCAAACACCACAGAACCAGCCAAAGAGCAATCACACACAATGTGAGTCTATGAGACAAACTATTTTTACATCAATCGAGAGAAGAAACTGCTATATTTGCATTTCAGAGAACCCAAACAGGAAATCCAACCAGAAAAGCTTAAGTGAAATAGTCCTCTTCTCTTATCCATTTTATGTCCAAGTGTCAAAACAGATAAGTTTGAACTATACCAATTTGAAATGCTGTGACATAACAATAATTGAAATACGATTTCATCTCAAAATTTGAAAAGCATGAATTAAAATTCCCCAGGAATTAAATAAATCTAAAGCTTGAAGAGCTGACAGAGGTAATGATTCATAAACTGTGCTGGTAATTCTACACGGCAGCATGTTTTGACCTGGGGAAATTAGACCCTTTGTCATCTCGAATTACATGAGTTTTGCATTGTGTATTCACAACTTCATACCTTTCATAAAACACATCATCCTATACATATTTTGGGTTGCTTTTTTTTTTTTTTAGTTACAAGAATCAAATAAGTTTTGTTCAATACTGTCTAGTAGAGCCGTTTGGTGCTTGGATCTTGAAATCAGACAGACCCACCTTCTCCATGGCAATCATGTTACAACATATAAATGTGTCCAACCAGCATAGAATACACCTTCCATTTAAAAACGCCCTGTACCATTTATTGTATTACTTTGGACAGGTTGGTTAGCAGTCCCAGGCTTCAGCTGCCGCTTCTTTAAAAATGGGCATCATTGTACTTTCCTCACAGCGTTTCATAAGAATTCAACGAGATAATACCCATCAATACAGAGCTTGGCATGTAGTAATTCTCCGCGGCGGCCGTGCAATGGCAAGATAACGTATCTGCCTGGCCTTAGCATCCTCATTTGAGAAACTTCTTTTTCAAAGCAGCTTGGAGACTCGACAGAAGGGTGGGGCCTCGGCGTCTCACGCCCTCTACTAATAACCTCTGTAAATTTAATAGACCCAGCGTTACACATGACGGGGGGGGACTGGGTGGGGTAGGAGCCCGAGCGTCCGCCGGTCCCCTCCGCGGCCGCCGCGACGCAGAGGCCGGCCTGGAGCCAGCAGGCCGGGCCGCAGCTGCACTGGTTCTCTCTTTTCCCGGCCGGTCAGCCGCTCGGGCGATGAAAACACCACCACGTGGCCTGCCGCCGCCGCATAGGGCGCTGTCGCCCAATGGCGAGCTACGTCATGGAGCTGGGGGCGGGTCTCCAGCGAGGCAGGTCCGCCCACCGCCGTCTCCCATTGGCCAAAGGCGCGCGGCAGCATGGGATCGTGGCCAATAGCGGCCCGAAGTTAGGACCCCGCCCTCCTAGTCGCCCCGCTCGGCGGCACCGGCGGGAGGGGCGGGGCGAAGAGGAAGAACGGGGCGGGGCCGGGGCGGAGAGGGGCTGGCGACCCGGCCCGCGGAGCCGGCGCCAGCGGGCTGCTGAGGTGGCCGTCGCCGGCTCGGAGTTGCAGCTTCCCCGGGCCGAGCGACCCCCGATGGAGGCCGAGGCCGCGGACGGCCCCGCGGGCGGGGCCGAAGCAGCGCTCAGCTGCTTCTCTTTCAACCAGGACTGCACGTAAGCCGCGGAGCCCGCCGGCCGGCCGGGAAGCGGGGGGCGGAAAGTCGTGGCCAGGGAGGGGTGTCGTCCTGTCTGCAACTTGTGGCCATAGAGGCGCGGGCCTGCGCCCCGAGAGGCCGGCGGCGGGACGGCCGGCGCTGGCCCCGACCGGTTGGGGTCTAGGTAGCCACCTCCTCTCCCCACCTCCTCCCCAAGCAGGGGGTTTGGGGAGGCGGCCCCCCAAAACCCTTGCTCGGGTGGAGAGCCCGGAGGGGCTGGCCGAGGGTGAAAGAGGAGAGGCAGCCAGGGGAGGAGAGCCGGAGAAAGCGAAGGAATGGGGGGTGTGGGCTGGTGACCATAGTGGGGGGTCCGGGGAAGGAGTGGGCAGAGAGACCAAAACAAAGGAGGTGGGAGGGGAGGGGCCGGCTGCAAGCTGACCCGAGGCGTGGTGGCTGGGCCCAGGAAGACCCGAGTCCAGGAAAAACTTTCCCATTTGTCCCGGAGCATCTCAACGTGGCATTTGGGCAGGGCCTCGGACCGAGAGGCAGCCTATCCCTGCGGCCAGGCCGGCCCCGGCCCGGCCCCCGGCGGCGGGGCATCGGGCCTGCCCACTCGGGATGGGATGTCAGAATCCTTTCCCTCCGCTCGCCTGAGGCTCAGCGAGGCCGAGTCGCCCTGCCCACCAGCCCGTTCTCCGTGCTCCACCCTGTTGCTTTTTTTGTGGAGTGGATTTTTTCATGTTTCCCCTGGATGTTCATGCGTGGGCTTGGGCCAGAGAGCTGGGATTTATTTACCCAACTGTATTCCAGGCACCCGGAGGATTGGGTCCCTTGAAAGCAGGCTTTTTTTTTTTTTTTTTTTTTTTTTTTTTCCTTCCCTGCCTTTTCTTGGAGTTGTTCGATGCCAGCCCCGGGGACCATATGGAATAACCTCTTTGGAATGTAACCCCCAGCGCATCAGGCCCGGACGGCCTCTCCCGGCTCCCCACTTCCTGCTGTACCAGTTTCTGTTGTGTTCTTGTTTGGAGTCAGTCAGCTTCAGGCTTGTGCTTTTGGCCTGCGCCGGGGCTGTGCTAATATTGAACCTTCCGTGGTGTAATTAAGGCCATCATGTACCATAAGCAGTTCTGGCTCCCAGTCCCTTTGTCTTTCTGTTTAAAAACATCCCATGCCAAACAGTGTGTCTTTGTTCAAAACACTGTATGTGTGATCCCCAGTCATCTGATTGCTGGGCAGCCTGGTCAAGATGTGCGTAACTTTGACGCTTTCTTTTAACCCACAATAAGAAATAGATGTTACAACATCACCCCATTTCCATATACAAATAATACCACTAAAAAAAAAAAGTGCACCACAGGATGGTGTTTACCTTTATTATGGGCAATCCCCGCTGGCATTTTCTGTTTCCTTTTTAAAAGCCATGTGTGACTCCCTGAATTATTTTTAGGATTCACTCATGGTTTGAGACGCACAATGTACAAAAAAGGATAGTCTAGATAAAAATTCTGATGTTTTGTAAGAAACATTTTGCAAGAGGGGATGGCTGTTGAAATGCCTAGGTGTTTTCCTTCCTAAGTGAACACAGTTTAAGGAGAGGAGTTATGTTGCTTATTAGCAAATGTTCTAATTTCTGCTTTATAGCATTGTTTATTAGATTATTTTTTATTTTTGTTTTTAAAAATTGATTTCAGAGAAAGAGGAAAGGAGAGGGAGAGAAAGAAACATCGATCTTGGCTGCATCTTCCTGGGAATGGAGCCTGAAACCCTGGCGTGTGCCCTGACCTGGAATGAAACTTGGTGACCTCTTGACCTCTGGGTGCCTGGGGCAACACTCAATCAACTGAGCCACACGGGCTAGATCTTATTAATGTTAATATATTTTTTTAAAATTTTCACCCGAGGATATTTTTCCACTGGTTTTTTAGAGAGAGAGGGAAAAACAGGAGAAATATCGATGGGAGAGAAACACATGGATTGGCTGCCTCCTGCATGAGCCCTGACCAGGGCCCGGACCAGGGAGAAGCCTGCACCTGAGCTTCATGCCCTTGACTAGAATGGAACCTGGGACCCTTCGGTCTGCAGGCCGACACTCTATCCACTGAGCCAAACCGGCTAAGGCAAGTCTTGTTGATCTTTATTCTAGTTAAGTCCAGGCTTTCATAGCAGTTGGATACGAATGTTATTTTCACATCTGCAGGGTGCTTGGAAAGTTAATTTCCTTCGTCCCTACTGTCAGTTCTGTTTTTTTGGATGAAGGCTCTGCTGGGCAGCTCTGTCTCGCTATAAATAAGTTTTTGTCACAGTTGTCTTGAGCCACAGAGGGTATGACGCTGGGTTTTAAAATGAGTCGAGCCCCTTACCAAGCACATTTAGGATGACCAGTGTGTCTTTCCTCTAAGTCACATGTGTCAAACACAAGGCCCGAGGTCCAAATCCGTCCCGCCAGGCCTTGCAATGTGGCCCGCACCGCGCTGTCATCACTGCACTCCGCTGCGTTTCCATCACAATGACAGTTTATGACTGTTCAGTAAACCATTCGGCCCGCGATTTAGGCTGGATTTTAGATTTTGGCCCCTTCTCTGATTGAGTTCGACACCCCTAAGTGTAGTCTAAGTTTGAGATCTAATGTGTCTGGGGAAGGTGGGTGACGATGGCTCTCCTTCACTCACGCTTCCTGCGTGGCCCTGTGCTGGACACTTGGGTGCATGTTTCCATTTGATTGGAGAGACCCGTGTGTCCCAAACCCTGTGTCCATGAGAGGGGATGAGAATTTTTTTTTCCCCCCTGTAAAAGGGCTTTATGGATAAAATAAGGTTTTCATCTGGATTCTTTGATTCAGAGATGTTTGTAGCCATTGATTAATCGTTTACAACATAAATAGTGACCACTCTCCCAGTTTCTCATATATAAAATTCTTCTGTGCAGGAAGCAGGGCATATGTTTAAAAATTATTTTACATAGCCAGATCTTTTAACATTATAAGACCCTAGTTACATTTTTGTTGTTGTTGTTATTTGAAAACTTTAGAAACCTGTTTACAACGAAATGTGTCTGTCTGTCTGTGAAAAGGTTTATGTGAAAACATTTAAAACACTACAGAGTGCGTTTGGAAGGTTTAAGATGCTGCTGGCTTGCCTTTTCAGTAGCTGACATCACCGAGGCTGTGTTTACAGATGCCAAACCTACTCACCCTCTGAAGCAAAGGGCCGGCACCATGTTAGCCACAGGGCAGGTTGGAGGGCTCAGGAACAGAAGCCCTTGCCTCGCTGATTACAAGTTGACTCTAGTCACAGATCCATGTGTCCCAGGGAAGAACAAATGTTTGGGTAGGGAAAAAAAATATTCCAGAGAAAATCACGTGACCGTCTCTTTTTTAGGCGAGTGAAACCAGAGCCGTGGCCACCTGCCTTGTCGCAGTACGCTAGCTGCTTATTTTAGTATAGGCTGCTCTGTGAAGAGCGAATCTCACCTTTTCATTTGTTTCGTGTTTGTTTTTTTAAAAATAATGTATTTTAATTGATTTTTAGAGAGAGAGGAAGGGAGAGGTAGAGAGAGAGAGAGAGAAACATCAAGGATGAGAGAGAATCATTGATTCTCTGCATGCCCCCCACTGGGGTTCGAGCCCACAATCTGAGCATGTGCCCTGACCAGGAATCCAACCCGGGACCTTTTGGTTCCTGGGTCAACGTTCAACCACTGAGCCACACCAGCCGGGCTCATGTGCTTGTTTTAAATGAGGAAGTTGGACTAACTTTGAGGTCCACTGAGGCCCATGTTAAGGTAAGGTGCCTTTCAGCTCAGACACTCCATTTCCCCAGGATGGAAAGTGCTCAGGGTCAGACTGCTGATTCTGCGCATCTTGTGTGTCCGATTTAGTTCATCACTCAAGTCTTAGGGGCAAAGCAGGGGAGAGCTGGATGGGGATTCCCCGCTGCTGAACAAACAAGCTTCGTGTTCAGTTGCCTTCATCCTGAGGCCAAGCAAACCTGGCTTCACACTCTGTCTTTAGCTATGGGTTGGGAAGTGAACAATTTAAAAACAAGATTTTTTTTTTTTTAAGCTGACCTTGTCCCAGATAAGCGTTTAGTTTTTGTTTTGTTAGTTTGTAGAGCATATTGGGGGAACAGAGGTGATCAGTATTTTTTTTTTTTTTTAATTTCCCAAGTGAGTTTAATGTCCATCCAGGGATTACAGCCACTGGTATAAAGTGTCTGGGAAAGTTTCATGGAAAGTGGTCAAAGGAAGCATCTTTTAAATTTTGCCTACTAATGACCTACTATGCCTATGAGGAACATGTATTTCCTTTTTAAGCAAAAAGAAGAAAAGTCGTCAAGGGAATAAAAAATGACATACCTCTTGGTATAGTACCTCTCCCACAACCAGAAGACCCCTGATTGTGTTGGTGGCCCCATGGTGAAAAGTCTTGAACAGCCCGTTTTCCCTATTTCTGCTCAGCTGGGAAAGCATGGTCTCTGGCGAGGTCGACATTTCCTTTGATGATTGAGCCCATGAAGTTTCATGTCTCATAGCCACTTCACATTTCTGTGAAGAACTGGGACTAATCATGCCTGCCCATCTCACAAGGTGTACCTCACCAAGTTAGAAAGTTACCACATAGCACCTGGCCAGTGTGGCTCAGTGGCTGAGTGTTGGCCTAGGAACCAGGAGATCACAGTTCGATTCCCGGTCAGGACACATGCCTAGGTTTTGGATTCGATTCCCAGTGTGGCGCATGCAGGAGGCAGCCGATTGATGATTCTCTCTTGTCATTGATGTTTCTCTCTCTCTCTCCCTCTTCCTTCCTCTCCCTGAAATAAATAAAAACATGTCTATTTGTTTTAAGAAGAGAGGAAAATGTCATTAAAGCATTAAAAACAAAAACAAAACAAAAAATGTAGCCAATATTGAAGCGCCTGAAGATGTTGGTTGGTCTGCCTCCATGAGGTGAGAGGGAGAAGGGGTGTCAGTCTTCACGGCTGTGGCTGGGATCCAGTACCTGCTGTCATTCCCAGCCTCTCCTTATCGCCCGCAGATCCCTAGCGATTGGAACCAAAGCCGGTTATAAGCTGTTTTCGTTGAGTTCTGTGGAGCAACTGGACCAGGTCCACGGCAGCAGTAAGTGTGTGCGTGTGAGGTCTCGGGTCGCCAAATCCTCCCTCTGGACTTTAATCCGTGCTGCTCCGGAGCTGTCTGCCTTTCTCCCCCTTACCCATCAGACTCGAGTCAGTATTTCTCAGGTTAAACATAAATCAGTGTCTTCGCTTGCTTTAAAACCAAAACCATAGTGAAGCACTTGGTGGGGTGTAGCAGTAGCTTAGGTAACATTTCATATTAAGAAATCCCTTGCTTGGAACCCTGTTGACAATTTTTCATATACATATACGCACCGCCATCAGTTTTTACAGTTGTCATAGCAAAAGATCGGTTAGGATTCCCCCCCATTAATTGGCACTGTAGAATATTGGGAATGTTTTCAGCCATGGAAGTATGTCCTTTGCTAATAAAGCAATACAACCCCATGGACATAGTCCAAATTGAAGATGCTGGCGTACTGCTAATAAATATTTTTTTAAAAATTCAGCTTAGAAACGTGACTCTTATCTTCCCAGGGAACGTAATAGTTTGTGCCACCATAATAGTGAAGAATATAATCTTTGGATTTCCTGGGAAGAAATTGTCTGGTAACTAATATATTGGGCTCCTGATTTATTTGTGAGATGTTATTTTTATTATGCCATTTTCATGGACGACTTGCTCTGTATCTGTCCTGGGTTGCTCCCTACGGGACTTGCCCAAGATCAAGAAAGGCATGCATAGGAAAAGAGTATTCTTCGGCCCTAGCCGGTTTGGCTCAGTGAATAGCGCGTCAGCCTGCGGACTAGGGGTCCCAGGTTCGATTCCGGCCAAAGGCACATGCCCGGGTTGTGGGCTTGATCCCCAATAGGGTTGTGCAGGAGGCAGCCGATCAGTGATTCTCTCTCATCATTGATGTTTCTCTCTATCCCTCTCCCTTCCTCTCTGAAATCAATAAAGAAATGTAAATATATATATTTTAAAAAAGAGTGTTCTTCGGAGGCCCACTAATGTACCTTCTTCCCGAGTACAGAGGTGCTTCCCTGGTCATAACACTGATGTCCAGATGGTTTTCAACAGGAAAGGGATTCCAGAAATTGACAGGGAGCATAGCAGGATGGGGTGGGGGTACAGGTCTTTCTGTGTCGATGCCCCCCATGGTGGTCCCCCTCGTAGCAATAGGAACAAGAATTCTGAAGGCAAAGGCTCCCGACAAAGCAGTCACTTCTTTGAAACCTCAAAGAATGAGAAAAGGGTAGCTGAGATGGCCCAAACCCCTCATTATGTTTCACAGAGCAAACAGTGGCGGGCACCCCAGGGCCTGGAGGGGAGCTCTGGAAATTCTGACTTGGTGTTTGGTCGCTAGCATCTTCTTTAGATATGTGAAAGGGCTGTTTCACTGGGAAGTGGCTAAAGCTTCCCCAGGGGGTGGGGGGCATTGCAAATGCATTCTAATGGGGGTGCCCAGTCAGCAGGACCTAAGGGACGCAGGCTGGCTGGCCGAGGCTGGAACCCGAGTCACCTCGGCTGCTTTCCCTCCCAGATGAAATCCCGGACGTGTACATCGTGGAGCGCCTCTTCTCCAGCAGCCTGGTGGTGGTGGTCAGCCACACAAAGCCGCGGCAAATGAACGTCTATCACTTTAAGAAAGGCACGGAGATCTGCAATTACAGCTACTCCAGCAACATCTTGTCCATAAGGCTGAACCGACAGGTAAGCGGGGCAAGATCCCTCCGGATTGCAAGGCTGCTGCTGGTTGGGACCGAGCAGAAAGATGGCTATCGTTCAAGAGGAATGCCTCTAAAACAAGCATCAAATTCTACTGGGCATTTTCATCCTCAGGCCTCGATTTATGGGGCTCCTGTAAAGAGAGTTTTTAACTCCATGCACTTGTCTCAGTGGCGGGTCCTCCCTGGTCCCCCTGCCTCTTGTTCTTTCTCAAATATCGGCCACCGGCGAGGGGAGCCCTCCCCTGGGTGCAGGCTGGGCGGGCCTCCGGCTCTGAAACCCTGAGCTGTTGCAGGGACACCCCTGGTTCGGGTCCCCGATGCTGGCACTCGCTGCAGACCGGCGGTCACGTCTCTCGGAAGGAAGCTCCTGAGGACAGCGTGTGGTCCTCCTGGGGAGGCTCTGAAGCCGGTCAGTAAAACTGCCCAGCGGGCCAGGTCCTCCGGCTTCCACGCCTCTTCCGCCCAGCTAGCCCTTGAAGATTTTTCTTGTAGTGTTTTCTTTGTTGAAGGAAGGCTTATTCTTATCTCAACTATGCAGCACCTTCTCTTGAAAAATACCCGTTCTTGTTAAATAAGTGGTTGAGGTATTAGCCGAGTTTCCGTTGAATTATTAGGTTCTACGTCCTAGGAGCAGGGCAGGGCCGTGTCTGGTTTTGATCACTGCTGTAAGGCCTGGTGGGAAAGATAGTGAATGCCTGGTGGAAAACTCTTCCACAGATGCCTGTTTCCTGAGCACCTGGTCCATAAACAAACAGACAGTCTCTGCACGACCGCACAGCTCTGTCCGTGAGGCAGGAGGGTGGAGGTCCAGGACAATGGTCTCTCCTGTCTTTGCACCTCGAAGAAGTGCTGATTAACTTTTTTAAACAAACGAGACAGTTTATGGTAAGGAAGAGATTATTCCTTTGAGTTGATCAAATATTTTCATTTGAGTCTCCACTTAAGCCTGCATAAAAGCAGAGAACAGCATGAGAAATAGGATATGGGGGATATTTGTTTGTTTATTTATTTATTTTAAAATATATTTTATTGATTTTTCACAGAGAGGAAGAGAGAGGGATAGAGAGTTAGAAACATCAGTGAGAGAGAATCATCGATCAGCTGCCTCTTGCACACCCCCAACTGGGGATGCACCCGCAACCAAGGTGCATGCCCTTGATCGGAATTGAACCCAGGACCTTTCAGTCCCCAGGCCGACGCTCTATCCACTGAGCCAAACCGGTCCCGGCATATTTATTTATTTATTTATTTATTTATTTTTTACGCAAAGAGGAGCCGGAGTAAAGAAGAAAAAAACCCCGGGTTCTTAGCAAGAGAGGAAAAGGCAGTTAGAGGGTTTTCAGCTAGAAGGCTTTTAATTTCCAGCACAATGCCTGGCTCAGGTGCTCCCTCTGAAGTCTGTTGTTAGCACGTTCAATGTTGTTGTCGAACTGTCTTGTTTTGTCCTCTGCATGCAGGAGTAATCAGTGTGGGAACATTAACTATCCTCTTTCTGTAGCCGATTGTCTCTCTCAGGCTGTTTAGGCCAATGGTCGGCAAACTCATTAGGCAACAGAGCCAAATATCAACAGTACAACCATTGAAATTTCTTTGGAGAGCCAAATTTTTTAAACTGACTCGCCCAGGCCGTGGTATTTTTATGGAGGAGCCACACTCAAGGGGCCAAGAGCCGCATGTGGCTCTCAAGCCGCAGTTTGCTGACCATGGGTTTAAGCAAATGTCCTGGAAAGATCAGAATTCTCCCATAGTATCTATGGCATGTCTTTGTATAACTTCTCTCTTACTTGCTCTCTGATATTTTCATTATCAAATGGGACAAGGGAGGGTTATTCCAGTGTCCAATCCAGTCTGTTGACCTTTAGATGTCACCCCACTCAGCATAACACTCATTACCTCTAGGGCTCTCCTCCCCCACCTCCCAAAGGACAGGAATGCACCTGGAATTACCTGGCTGATCGAGGCCAAGCTAATGTGAACCCAGGGCCCACATTTCTGCTCCTGAGAAGGTGCTTTGGAAGCATTTGGGGTTTGCTGTTCTTAAAACATTCAGGTTTGGGCCTTATCAACTTCTGGTTTAGGCAACTCCTGCAGCCTTCAGATAGATAGAAAGGAAGAATATCTAGTGATCGTAATCTTTTAGATGTGATCCCCCCCGCCCCCAGCACTTAACTGAGGAGATGCATTCAACGGAATTGTAAGGTTCCAGCTGAGAGGTTTGCGACACAGGAGCAAGACACGAGAGTCCAGGAGATCAAAAGGGGGAGGTTTTAATCTTGTGCTTCTGGGCAAAATTCTCTGGTCTGAGGGTGGGCCAGGGAAGTTCATGCCAAAATGGGGGTTTAGGTACTTCTTTTATACAGCTGTTTAGTGGGGGGAGAGCCAGAGAGGTGTGGAATTTCTGCCAGGAGTCTAGGAAGGCGCCAGTAATCTCTGTCACCATCTGCCTTGCAGATGCTTGCATCTGCTCTGGACTTCCCCCCTGCCTCTACCTAACAGGAATAAAGGCGGTTACCCAGATGCACTTCAATATGCGAGCATTTACGGTCTTTGCCACCTGTTCTCAACCTCCGCCTGGATGCCAAGGGCCCTAGAACAGATGCAGCATCTGCATCCAGGCTCGGACACCCAGTCTACGTTCGTGGTGCTCGGGAGCAGATGCTATAAATATTTTTAATTGCTAAAAGGGTTATTAATTATAAAACCTCGAGAAGTGGATGAGAGTCGGAGTGACAGGGAACAACCTGGAAACTGGCTGTTGAAGGAAGCCAGCTCCAGGCTCCTGCCCATCTCAGAAGCGTGCTGTCACGTGAACTGAGGACAAAACGCCTCCTCTTGGCCTCTGCGAGTTCTCGGTCTGTTCCCCTCCCGCTTAATTCTTGTCTGCTGCCCACACAGGGTTGACCTGAACGTGGGCCAAGTGGGCCACAGAGCAGATGGTGCTGAGAGCGCCAATGGGAATAGACGCAGACGGGACAGACTAGCAGTAGGGGCCATTTCTGCAGGAGGCGTGAGCTGGGGATTGGGTGTGGGGCTGGAGAGGACTACGAGAGAATCTCACAAACTTAAGGACATACACACGCATAGAGATAGTCCACACCATAGTGAGTGCTGGCAAAAGGCACGGGGATCAGGGCAATCGGAGAATATGTGCTCCACGGAGGAACACTCCTTTGTCAGACTCAGCACCCACCCTCAGACCTGTGACCCCAGAGCCTGCGTTAAGATGAAGATGTTGACATTTTATTTTTCTGCCTTTCTGCTTGGTTCAAGTGTTCATCTCCACTTTTCTGAGCTTTGAAGAGTCTTACTGGGCAAACAGCAAGGCAGGCTTTTCCCAGGATGGGGAGCCTCCTGCTTTTGTGTAGTGTGTTAGGTACTTCCCTTTCCATGTTTTGAACCCTGGGATAAAAGGGTCTGCTCCGTCAATGGTGGTTCTCAGACACAGGTGTACGTCAGATCCTCGGGGCACTGGCTGCACCACCTCCCGAACCAGAATCTCCGGGGAGAGCCCAGGCCTTGCCCCTTGGGTGCTCAGATCCTCACCCAAGTCCTTACCCACGGGCCACAAGTCAGGCGAGAGCAGAGGTAGCAGGTGGCTCAGAGTGAAGCCAGAGCTACCAGATGTGGAATTCTTCCCAGCTCCTCGCCATCACCCGCATCTGCTCACCTGTGCTGAGCTGTGCATCCAGTTCCTCACACAGCAGCATGTTAACCCTGTGGCCTGTTTCCACTGGGTAGAGAGCAGGGCTATGGGGAAGAGGCTCCAAACCTGACAGGTCTCGTTGGAAGAAGAAGAGAAGGGTCTTACGGCCCTGGGGAGGGCGATCCCCAAGGAGTGGAGCTGAGCATGGGAAGGGGAATGGGGTGTTCCCATGCCGAGGCTGGGGGGCGTGCACAAAGGTAGGTCTGCAGGAGAGTTTAAATAAGTTAAAATCTGACCATTCATTGGAGAGGGGTAAATCAGAAGATTGGGGAGCAAAGAAACCTACGTCTGCACAAGAGGGAAGAGAGCCTGTCTCCACATACGACAGACCCACAACCAACATGATACTCCATGGGCAAAAACGACAAGTGTCCCCCTTAAGACCAGGAACAAGACAGGGATGTCCGCTTTCACCACTCTTATTCCACACAGCACTGGAAATCCTAGCCACAGCAATCAGACAAGAAAAAGAAATAAAAGACATCCAAATTGGAAAGGAAGAAGTAAAACTGTCATTATTTGCAGAAGGAGTGATACTGTATATAGAGAACCCTAAATTTAGATCCTACCAAAAAAATAGTGGAATGGATAAATGACTTCAGGCAAGTAGCAGGGTACAAAAGAAATATTCAGAAATCAGTTGCATTTTTATATACCCATAATGAACTATCAGAAAGGGGAACTAAGAAAACAATTCCATTTATAATTGCATCAAAAAAATAAAACGGGGATAAATTTAACCAAGGATGTAAAGACCTGTACTCAGGAAAGTATAAGACACTGAAGAAAACAGTATGGAGTTTCCTCAAAAATTAAATGTGGAACTGCTGTTTGATCCAGTGACCCCACTTCTAGGAATATACCCTAAGAGACTCAAAACACCCATCAGAAAGAACATATGTATTCCTATGTTCATAGCAGCACAATTTACAGCAGCTAAGATCTGGAAATAGCCCAAGTGCCCATCAGCAGATGAGTGAATAAAAGTGCTGTGGTACATTTACAGCATGGAATACTCTGCAGGAGTAAAAAAGGAGGATCTCTTATCCTTTGAGACAGGATGGAGGGACCTGGAGAGTATTTTGCTAAGTGAAATAAGCCAGTCAGAGAAACGCAAGTATCACATGATCTCACTCATACGTAGAATTTAATGAACAAAATAAACTGATGAATAAAATAGGTCCAGAGACATAGAAACTCAGAACAGACTATGGACTCTCAGAGGAAAGGCAGAGGTGGATAGGAAGAGATCAAAGAACTTGTATGTGTATATGCATAACCCTTGGTCTCAGACAATAGATGGGGGAAGGCCTAGGGCAGAGGGTGGGTTGGGGGTGGTGGATTATAAGGGATCAGGGGGTAGAGGGCGGAAGGGGACATACTCATATGTAATACTTTCAACAGTAAAGACTTAATTTATAAAATAAGACACTGGAGAAAAAAGTTAAAGAAGATATAAATAAGTGGAAGCATATACTGTATTCATAGATAGAATATCATTAAAATGTTAATACTACCCAAAGCAATCTATAGATTCAAGATACCAATGGCATATTTCACAGGACTAGATAAATATCCCCCGAATTTATATAGAACCACAAAAGATCCAGAACAGTCATAGCAATCTTGAGAAAGAAGAACAAAGCTTGAGGAATCACTCTACCTGATATCAAACTATACACTTCAAGGCCAATGATAATCAAAACTTCATGGTACTGGCACAAAAACAGACATGGATCAATGGAACAGAGTAGAAAGCCCAGAAATAAATCCAGGCCTTTAAGAACAATTAATATTTGACAACGGAGACAAAAACATACAATGGAGTAAAGATAGTCTATTCAATAAATGGTGCTGGGAAAATTGGACAGTTAAGTGTATGACCTTACATAAGAATAAACCCAAAATAGATTAAAGACTCAAATGTTAGACTCAAAACCCTAAAACTCCTAGGAGAAAGCAGGCAGTGAAATCGCAGACATTTGTCATAGGAATCTTTTTTCCCGATATATTGCCTTGACAAAGGAAACTAAAGGAAAAATAAACAAATGGGACTACACCAGGCTAAAAAGTTTGGTGCATACATGTGTGTGCATGTGCACGTGTGCATACATAGACATCATCTCCAAATCCATCAGCCAGAGTTTTCCTCTGTCAGACTTGGTTGACGTGTCTGTGTGGTTACAGAGGCTGCTGGTGTGCCTGGAGGAGTCCATTTACATCCACAACATCAAAGACATGAAGCTGTTGAAGACCATCCTGGATGTTCCTGCAAACCCAACAGGTGAGCTCCCGAACGAGGGGGATGCCCGCTCCTCTCACGTCCAGGTGCCCCCTTCACAAACCATCTTTCCGCCTACCTTGAGGACCTGAAGCAGTTGTTTTGCTTTATAAGTTTTCATGGTGTTTACCCCAAGGCTGTGTTTTAATGGGGGCAGGTTCAAGTACGTCAGGCTGTGCGCCCTACAAGAGGCTGTGGCCCTCACGGCCGCCTCCTCCCCACCTCCCTCCAGAAACTCCTTTCATCTGGGCCCATTCTCAGCAAATGTGTCAGGGCGTTTAAGGTCGACGCGTGGGAGATTCCATGCATCTGGTACCGAGAGGTGTTCACCCCTAATTATTTTCTGTGGTTTCTCAGCACAGAGTAGGCGTAATAATTAAGAGCAGGTTTTGACTTGGTGTGTCTACGTGACTAAGAGAGAGACAAACCGAACTGCAAAGAATATGTTCTGTTATGTTACAGAGAAATCTCCACGTTGGACTTCCCAAACTTCTCAGGATGGGACGCTGCCGAGTCAGTTTCCCCGTTTAAGTTTGTGAAGTGCAGTGTTCTAGCCTTCTGAAAGGCCAGGGTCAGGTTGAACAACCACTGTGTGTCTTTTTAAAAAAATATATTTTTATTGATCTCAGAGAGGAAAGGAAAGGGAGAAAGAGAGATAGAAACATCAATGATGAGAGAGAATCATTGATGGGCTGCCTCCTGCACGCCCCACACTGGGGATCAAGCCTGCGACCCTGGCATGTGTCCTGAGTGGGAATCAAACCCTCTTGGTTCATAGGTTGATGCTCAACCACAGCCATGCTGGCCAGGCCGCAGTGTGTCTTATTACACCTGTGAGAGGATGTCCAGGAGTTTTACAAATCCTGAAATTTATACTTATCCTCTCAACAACCCCCCTGCCAGAATTACTCGGAGAGTTAACTGAGGGCAGGGAATGAGAACCATGGCACATCTGCCCCACATCACACGCGGCCCACTAGGCTCACTCACTAGCCCAGCGCCAGCCCCAGCATCGCATGACATGACCGCTCCCCACTCCAGAGCCATCGGCTGCCTCTGAACCCTCAGAACCACAACTGTAAAATCCTGAGGTCAGTGGCCGCCTTCATCCGCTCACTCTCTGACAGATACTCTGAACAGCACCGAAGATGGACACGCTGGCTCTGACCCATATAAACCCTTCATGCCCACAAGACAGACAGAACCGCATGTCTCATGGCTCGAACTCACATGCTGCATGCACGCTGCCCACGTGAACCATGAATCAGTGGCACGAACCGCGTCCTCCCGCTGCTCTGCGCTCAGCATCTGTGTGGCAGTACATTTCCTCCCTCTTCATCTGTGTTTGTGTCATGCCGTTCCTGTTGTGTCAGAGATTGCAGGCTGCTTCCTCTAAAGAGGTAGGCCCGACGGGGCTCGAAGCTAATTTCCTGCCAGCACAGCAGTGCGCCAAGCTGTGGAGGACAGACATCTCCGGACAGGTCTGCCAGCCACGGACTCAGCTGTGCTGCCGATCTCACAACCGTGTATGGGGTACTGAGGGGCAGTCTACACCCCCCCCCCCCCAATACTGTGTCTAACTGAGTCCCCTCTCTGGAAGTGGTGCTGCAGGCCGGAAGCTGGCTCTCATTTGCAGAAACAGTGCATTTGCAAGCACAGATTCCTTCCTCTGTCTGAAAACGGGAAGGCATGCTCTGGGCCACCCGTCAGCCCAGAGGGAGCAGCATGTCATCAGTCACCATTAACTTGCTTGAAGTTGGACGTGTCATGCTAGGCATCCCAGGACGCCGGTGGCTTAGAATCACAGGACGTCCCTGTATCCAGCGGACGATGCCATTGGCTCTTGAAGTGAGAGCAGGCCCTTCTCTTCCAGCTGTGGTGAAATCATAGCTGACAGTGATCTGTGAAATCCTGTGTCAAGTGTCAAACATCAGAACCTCGTTCCTATGGAAGGAAATGTGCTCACACGTTGAGAACAGTGAAAACCCTCTGGGTTTTAGGATGGTGGCTGATTACCTCTTCCTCCGTATCTTCTGGCTTTGCAAATGGCTAATCACTTTTCTGTTATAAAATACTACCAGAGGAAAGGCTCGTTTCCTTCCTTAAACGGCTTTGTGCGGCACCTGTGACAGGAACTGAAGACTTTGTGCTCTCCTTGGGGGCTTCCAAGCTGGTTGGATCCCAGGCAATCGAAGGAACTCACGTGAAGCGTTTGTGGGGGCCTTGGTTGTGTCTGCGAGGGTCGGCGTGCAGGACCCCGTGACTACAGGCAGGTGGTAGGCACAGGTGCAAGCCCAGAGCCCAGTTGTCAAACACGTGGGCTTGTGCCAGTGTGCCCCTGCCCTGGCCGCTCCCCTCTGCCCCTTTCTTGTTAGAATCTGGGGCCATGTCATTCTCCTCCAGGCGACACAGGAGGTGCCATGTTAGCTGAAGACGTTGAAGCCTGTCTTCCTTCCTGAGATATTCGATTTGAACATGAAACTCTGAAGGGCACCTGTGGGAATGGCTCATTCTAAAAGACAAGAAGTAACCAGGGTGGCTGAGGACCTGGAGAAAAGGGAGCCCCATGCCGTTGGTGAGAATGTCAGCGGTACAGGCACTATGAAAAGGAGCAGGGAGCTTCCTCAAACAGCTGAGCTGTCAAGTGACCCAGCTGTCCCACTGCTGGGAATACAGCCTGAGCAAATGAAATCACCCCTATGTTCATCGCAGCACTGATCCCAGCAGTCAAGATCGGGAAACAACCTACGTGTCCAGCAGCGGATGAGCTGATAAAGAGAATGTGCTGTGTACGTGCAACGCAATCTGTTCAGCCATGAGAAGGATGAACTCTTAGCATTGCGACAACACGGATGGGCCGTGAGGGTATTATGCGGAGCGAAAGATGTCAGGCGGACAAAGACAAATATCGCAAAAACCGTACGATCTCTTATATGTGAATTTTTAAAAATGACTTTGTAGCTACAAGAACAGATTAGTGGTTGCCAGAGGAGGGAAGTGAGGGGTGGGGGGCAAAATGGTTGAAGGGGGTCAACAGGCACACATTTCCCGTTATAAAATCTGCCCTGGGAATACACAGCATGGTGGCCACGGGGAAGAACGCCGTGTTGCACATTTGAAAGTTGCTAAGAGATAAGATCTTAAAAGTTTAGCAAGAAAAAAAAAATTGTAACTGTATGTTGACAGATATTAACTAGACTAGTGATTATTTTGCAATATATACAAATACTGAATCATTATTTTGGCAGACCTGGATCTTGAACTCATGTCCCCTGTCTGTGTGTGTCTGCCAGATAGATATCCTTAAAACACTGCCTGTTTTTTTCCTAACAGCTTATTGTGATATAATTGGCATGCCATATGACTCACCCATTTACAGTACATAATTCAATAGCTTTCAGTATATTCAAAGAGTTGTATGACCACCAGGGCAATCAACTTTAGAACATTTTATCCCCTTTAACCCCCCTAAAAAACACACACAAAAACCAAAAAAAAAAAAAAAAATGAAACCCATACCTCTTAGCCATCAGCCCCCATACCTCCAGGCCTAGGCAACCCTAATGTACATTCTGTCTCTAGATTTAGCTCTTCTGGACATGTCATAGTAGTGGAATGATACAATATGTGGTCTTTTGTGTCAGTCTTCTTTCACTTAGCATAGTATTTTCAGTGTTCGTCCATATTGTAATATCTATAATAATAAAAGCATTATATGCTAATTAGATTGGCTGTCCTTCTGGACGAAGCTGGGGGCTGGGAGGAAAGCCTGGGGCCTGGGTGCCAGAGGGAAGCCAGTGCAAGCAGTCAGAGGAAGGAAGGCCTGCTCTTGCACAAATTTCATGCATCAGGCCTCTATGTTAGTATTTCATATCTCTTTATTAATTAACTAGAGGCCCAGTGCACAAATTAGCTCATTGGTGGGGTCCCTCAGCCTGACCTGCACCCTCTCACAATCTGGGACCCCTTGGAAGATGTTGGATAGCCAGTTTCGGTCTGATCCCCGCAGGCCCAATCCAGAAAGGAGGGAGCTCAATCCTATGTGTTGAGCGTCTGTCCCCTGGTGGTCAATGTGCGTCACAGTTACTGGTTGACTGGTCATTCGGTCGACAGGTCACTTAAGCTTTTATATATATAGAATAGATAATATTCCATTGTAAAAATATACCACATTTCACCCACTCATCAGTTGACAGTCATTTGGGCTGTTTCTACCTTTTGACTGTTACGAAGAATGTTACCATGAACATTTATATCCAAGATTCTGTGTGGCTCTGTGTTTTCATTTCTCTTGGGGACAAGTCCAGGAGTGGGGTTTTTGGTCAGACGGCAACTCGGTGTTTAGTCTTGTGAGGAACAGCCAGGCTGTCTCCCCAGCTCTGGCCCACGTGGCCTTCCCAGCAGCAGTGTGAGGGTTCCAATTATGTCTTTTTGATAATAGCCATCCTGGTGGGTGTGAAGTGGTATCTCGGTGTGGTTCTGATTAACTCTGCTTTTTTTAAACACATGTACCCAGAAACCTTCAGAACATGCCGGACACATTCATCAGATCTGAACTCAAGTCCTTCTAGGGTTGCCATGTCCGATCTTCCTTTCTGCTAACCACCCCTCTGAGAAACCCCATGCAGACCAACCTGGTGTCCTGGTCTTCCCTCCCCCATTTCCTTCTGCTGGGCAGGCTGATCTTGAAATTGCATTTTGGTTTGCAAAGAACCCCGATGAGATGGGGAATTGGTTCCCAGAGCAGAACTGGGAAGGTCCGAGTGGTCCCTTGTCAGGCCTGGGCCAAGAGTGACCTTGTACCCGCCAGGGGGCTGCAGGGAACCAGAGCAGGCAGGTCCTGTCTGCCACGCCGTTCCTCCCCTCACCAGGAGGTGGCGGTGTAGGCGAGCCATTTTCAGGGGCCCTTTTGCAGGTGAGTTCTCTCTCTGTGGACACGGGCTTTTTTTTCATCTGCTGTTTGTTCTCTGCCAGGTCTGTGTGCCCTCTCTATCAACCATTCCAATTCTTACGTGGCTTATCCTGGAAGCCTGACCACAGGCGAGATTGTGCTTTATGACGGACACTCCCTGGTAAGTTGGCAGTGCCCGGGCTGACCCCGCCCACCTGCATGGCTCTGTGGTCAGTGGCAGGTGATGAGCGGGCTCTGTCGCAGTGGGGTGAGGTGCAGAGGCAGAAGCAACGCTGGGGGAGTTCGTTCCGGCCCCGGCGCTCGGGTGTGGAGAAAGTAGTGATATTTGCCCTTGAGCCATCCGTCAACATAGCCGGGAGGCAGCGTGCCAGGCCAGGGCAGACAGCTGCAGCGCCAGGGGAACCAGCTGCCAGCTGGTGGCCTGCTGTGGGCGTGGCCCTAGCGCTTGCCGACTTCCTGCCCTCCGCTTGCCAGGCTTCACAGAGCGGGCAGCGCTGCAGGGGAGCCCCCTAAAGACGCACGTGGGGAGGGCTCTCGACTGCGCCATCACTGCACACCGGGCACCGTTGGGCATCCGTCTTCCCGAGGGCGGGACAAGGGATGGAAACGCGTGGCCCTTGATGCAGAGTCTGGATGCACCTGAGCACGTGCACAGCTTCCACGTGAAAGGGCTGCTGGAAAGGGAGAAGGGTGACTGGCAACTGAGGGAGGGTGTCGCGGAGGGCAAGAGGACGCGGAGGGAGGGGAGATCCATTGACCGTCCCCCTTTCCCGAACCCCTTGTTCCTTTTCACCAACAGAAAACAGTCTGCACGATCGCGGCCCACGAGGGGACGCTGGCCGCCATCGCCTTCAACGCCGCGGGCTCCAAGCTGGCGAGCGCTTCTGAGAAAGTGAGTGCGCCGGCCTCTCCGGGGGGCTCTCCTCCCTCGGGGCTCGCTGGGTGGCGATCGATGCCGCTCAGAAGTCGTCTCAGAAGCAGCCCAGCAGGCATGGGGTGGCACGCTGATGCCTGTTAACTCACCAGCCCAGAGGCTTGTGCTAGGCAGGAGGCAAGATATTTTGCATAAAAACTCAGTATCTTTACTGAGAAGTGGGTGTGTCCATCATGGATACAGACAGAGGCTGCCTCTCCTCAATGTGGCATAAACGGAAAGCTTTGCGAGGTAGCAGGAGGTTGAGCGCTTCCGACTGGAATAATTGGGGAGTGTGAGCAAGCTGAATGTTCAAATGCCTCGGAGAACAGGTCTCTCGTGAGCGGCAGAGACTGACCGTTCCAGGAAGCCAGAGCCATTTGAGCGAACACACACCGAGCCTTGGGCTTGGCTGGGAGGGAAAAGGGAGACAGACGCGCCCCGAGAATTGCTTATATGGCACATATGCAAACAGAGAGGCCCCCCGCCCAGCACTCTGTGCTTCCTCCCCGGGGACAGGTGTTCAACGCCAGTAAAAACACGTCTTCTAAAGAGGCGTGTGTGTGAGGAGCCATGGATGGCATGAAGCGCCCGCCTGCTTTCTTTTCCAGGGCACGGTCATCCGGGTGTTCTCCGTGCCCGAAGGGCAGAAGCTCTACGAGTTCCGGAGAGGAATGAAAAGGTGTGTGTGCGCTGAGACCCACGTGAAGCGCCCACGGAGCGCTGCAGTGGGCGGCCGGTAGGGAGAGGCGGGAGGGGTGGCTCTGTGCCCGCCTCTCAGTGCTCCATGGGGGCAGAACTGTGCTCTCGCAGGCAGCTGACCCAGGGCCCCACTCACTGCTTAGGACACCTGAGCGCGAAGGGGCCGTTTTAACACGGGCTCAGCCAGGGGAGTCCTTGGTGGGTGTCGCTGTGTGGCCAGCAGAGGAAAAACGAGATCCAAAAGCAATTTCTGGTCCCCTTCTGCGGACAGAGGAAGGGGTGATGGTCTGGGACCCCGCTGGCCGTAGGGTTTGCAGCCAGCAGTGCAGAGGGCAGCTGGAAAACCTCCGTGGTGACCGGAAGGAGCAACCTGTTCCTTCCTGCCTGAGACCGTGACCCTGTAGGAACCTTTCCAACGTCGATTCCTAACGAACGCCCAGACTCTGGGGACACGTGGTTCTCTTATGAAGCTGACTCTCTGGCTCACGGGTCCACCTGCTGCTCTGTGTTCTAGGTACGTGACCATCAGCTCCCTGGCCTTCAGCATGGACTCGCAGTTCCTCTGCGCCTCCAGCAATACCGAGACGGTGCACATCTTCAAGCTGGAGCACCTCGCCAACAGGTAGGCTCGGCGCCAGGCGTCACACACTCATTAGGCGGGAGGATGGGGCCCCGAGTATCCTGTGCTGGCGGCCACGGACAGCACGTGTGGTTCCCTCTCTCTCTGAAAGCCACAGCCTTGGCCTCCCTCGTCAGAGCGCCGAGGGTGTGTGAGCAAAGGCTCGGCGGTGTAACGCATGGAGGCCATGTCTAGGGACCCTCCAGCGGGGGCAGCCACTTAATCTTTCTGGACGCGGTACAGATTCATCTACACACCTTAGGCTTGTTGTAAGGATTAACTGAGCGCCTAGACCTCGGGGGTGGGGAACGTCCTGCCCGTGGGTCTTGTAAGGCCCCGCACCCGAAATCACTCGGTCTGGCCCCGCCCAGGCCTCAGGGGTGAACTAATGGGCTGTTTGACCAAGTACAGCAGGCTGATATTTTGCGTTGCTCTAACTCACATGTGTCAAACACAAGGCCCGCGCGGGCCAAATCCGTCCCGCCAGGCCTTGCAATGTGGCCCGCACCGCACTGTCATCACTGCTCTCCGCTGCGTTTCCATCACAATGACAGTTTATGACTGTTCAGTAAACCATTCGGCCCGCGATTTAGGCTGGATTTTAGATTTTGGCCCCTTCTCTGATTGAGTTCGACACCCCTACTCTAACTCTAGTAATGCAGTCATTGCCGTTACCCGCCCCAGAGTGCCAGGCGAGGGCTGCCAGTGCCCTTGTGTGTGACTGGCAGGCGTGGGTGGGGTTGGCAATAGAGAGCATGTGTTAGATTGCAGTCGGGCCCTATTATCGCCATAACGAAATACCACAAACGTAAAACAGCCAGCGGGCGTACCTCACGGTTCTGTAGGTCAGTCGGCGGGACGGCTCAGGGCTCCGTCGGGGTCTCGGGAGGCAGACATCCCCATGGTGGCCAGCCAAGTTCACATCTGGAGCTGAAAGTCCTCCAGACTCACCCGTGTTGCTTCCTCCTCGGGCTTTGGCTTCCCCCGGCTCCCCCTCTGCCCTCCTTCCCCGCCAGCACGCCGCTGAGAAAGCTCTGTGCGTTAAGGGCGCACGTGATTCGATTGAGCCCAGCTGGGTAACCTCCCGCGCTGCAGCCGGCTGGGCCTCTCACCGTCACTGCTCTCAGCACCGTCAGGTCCCGGGGCCAAGGTCGGGGGGCTGTGGCGGAGTCTCGGGGCCACTGCTAGGCGTTCTGCCTGCCGTCGCGTGAGCGTGAATGCACAGGGCAAAGTGCTACGGGCACGCCCCCGTCTCCTCCTGCGGACGTTCACACCCGAAAGCACCACAGCTGTGAGGCGTTCCCCCGCCCAGCGCCGTGCGTGGCAGCGTGACCTTGCCCAGCCCACCTCCCAAGGTCAAGATCCCACTCAGTAGCAGTGTAGGTGGCTCACACCTTCCTCGGGGGGCGATGGACAGTCGCGTCTCCTGACACTTCTCTTAAGTGAAGGGAAATTGAAACACGAAGGCTTGGTCATCAGCTCAGTCCCACTCAGAAAGCAGGTGGTGGAGTCGGCGGTAATGGCGGTACAGGCCGTAGCCACTCCAGGAGCAGAGGAGGGAGAGGAGATAGAGTCCCTCCTCCTCTCGGTTCCCACTTCCTGCATTTGCACCTCGGGGATAACCACAGTCACCTTGCTGGGGACAGCTACGCAGGGGACATAGGCATGGGGCCTAGCACAGCGCCCGCACACAGCCCAGCTGTTTTGTTAGAGGGCGTCTCCGGGGCTGGTGTGACCGAGGAGGCTCTGGGATGGTGGCCTCTGGGAATGAAGGTGCCTGAGGAGGGAGTGCCATGTCCCCAGGAGCGTGTCCGTTGAGAAGACAGAGGATGGACTGGCCCGAGAGACTGGAGGGGACCGACCGCACAGAAAAGTCACAGATTGCACCAAGAGATGCACTTCCATTTGTAGAGCCCCTCACACCGTCCTCCCCGGGTCCCACCGCATCCCTGCCAGGCAGCGGGAGGTGCTTCAGGTGCCCCTGTCAGTAACTGCTGGGGTTTTCTTATCGTTCTCCTGGGCTGTGTCTCCTCCATGAAGGCAGGACCGGACACTAGAGCTCTTGGCAGGACAGTTCCAATTTTAAAAATTTGTCCCGCGTCCCCACGGTGTTTTAGAAAAGTCCAAAAGATTTAAAAGAATCTTTCCAAAAATTGGGACTTGTTTAAAACGCCGAGGGAGCCGAAACTGGTTTGGCTCAATGGATAGAGCGTCGGCTTGGGGACTGAAAGGTCCCGGGTTTGATTCCGGTCAAGGGCATGCACCTTGGTTGCGGGCATATCCCCAGTGGGGGGTGTGCAAGAGGCAGCTGATCGATGACTCTCTCTCATCGATGTTTCTAACTATCTCTCTCCCTTCCTCTCTGTATAAAATCAATAAAAATATGTTAAAAACAAAACAAAACAAAACAAAACAAAAAAAACGCTGAGGGACTCGGGACAAATTGTTAAAAATTGGAACTGTCCCGCCAAAAGCTGGACGTCTGGTAACCTTAGGTGAATCCCAGCCCTGAGCACAGGGCTCCAGGGACGACAGCAGTACACCCGGGAGGGCCAGCTTTCAGATGAGAACAGGGGGCCCAGAGGTCTGTCCAGAAACCGCCCGCCAGCCGGGAACAGAGTGAGAAACAGACCCCAGAGCTGTATGTGTGTGTTTCCCGCCAGGATCTGGTCCCCCAGACCAGCACCTCGAACAGGCGTGGCCACCCTGGTCACTGTGCAGAGCCGGGGCGAGGCAGGTGCCCGTGAGCCGTCCACGCTCACATGTCTCAGCAACAGAGCGGTCACCGCTCTGGCCACTGCGGGGGCGCACCGGGTCCCTCCGAAGGATCTGCACCACACGGAATCCTGGTGCTGGGTGCTCCGGGCTCGGATCAAATACGGCCCAAGCGTCTTGCCCTGGGGGGTTTGCTTCCCACTCATCTGGCCCCCCGGCCACACACTGAGTCTGAGGGCAGGCTTGAGCCTGTTTACAGAGTCCAGTTAGCGATCCCATCTCGCTCCCTCCTCTCACCCCCTTTCAGGAGCCTAGAAATCCGACCAACAGACACCACGCTTTTAATGCAGGAAAGTGTAACACTGGGAACCTCTTAAGAGCTTTGTAATGGCCCTTCTGAGGGACAGCGGCCACTTGCCCTGTGGGCACGGCCAGGACACGGTGTCCCTGGCTGCGCCGGGTGGGCAGGACATCACACTGAGGTGGCTCCCTCCTCCCTCGGCGCCGTGAGGGCGGCTCCCGCGTGCGGGGGTGGGTGGGGGTCACCGCATGGGTGCCCACAGCTCGGGCTCACGGCGCCTCTGCCTGTGCGTTGCTCCCCCAGCCGACCCGAGGAGCCTTCGACCTGGAGCGGCTACATGGGGAAGATGTTCATGGCAGCTTCCAACTACCTCCCCGCCCAGGTGTCAGACATGATGAACCAGGACAGGGCCTTCGCCACCGGGCGCCTGAACTTCTCCGGGCAGAAGAACCTCTGCACCCTCTCCACGTACGTACGTAGGGCAACGCCACTCCCACCCCCTCACACACACACATTCACGTCCCCAAAGCACCAACGCCCCAAACACACGCACAGGAAAAAAAATAATAAAATAATACAAAGAGAGAAGAAGGCCAAGAGGAAGGGTGAGCGAAATCAAACCCTCCCGCCGCGCATCAGCTGCCCGGTCATGACACGTGTTCGCGGGCGGCAGTGGGAGCTGGCCAGGGGATTCATGGCGACACTGTCCCCGAGAGCAGCTTCTGTGTTCACGTAATTATGTGCAAAGGCCCAGACACCTACGGGGTTGACATGTTTTACCCAAGAGGCTCAAAGGAGTTAAACATTTAAAAAAAATTTCGTAACGCCAGCCAGCCACGATGCAAGCCAACTTCCCACTCATTTCCTTCCCGTCACTGTTAAAGGTAGAGACGCCATCCCGTTCAGGTAAGCTCATGGTTTTGTTTTTGTTTTTGGTAACAGCTCTCCCTGGATCGGCGGTGTGGACATACATCATTTTGTCTCTCCCACACAGTTAGGTTCAAAGACAAGAGTTAGCTCTCAAGGTAGATCACTAGGTCAGAATGCAAAGAAACAGCCAGGCACCCAGAACCCGGGCCCAGTGGGCTAAGGGTTTGTTGCTGGCAGAAGGCGGCGGCGGTCAGGGGGAGCGAGGCCTGGTTGAGGCCTGGCTGTCGGAGGCCGGCCTGTGACCCGCCATTGTTGTTACCACAACACACGTTTTCTTTTGGCTCCTTAGGATCCAGAAACTGCCGAGGCTGTTGGTCGCATCCTCCGACGGACACCTTTACATCTACAACCTGGACCCTCAGGACGGAGGAGAGTGTGTCCTGATCAAGACTCACAGGTGGGGTTGCCCCGTAGCGTCACCCCTGGGCCAGGAACAAGGGCGAGCTTGATCTCCCGCGCTCTTTTTCCTCCCTCCTTCACCGGCAATCCCGGCGCAAACCGCCAGGGGGCGCCTGCTCCGAGTAGGGCTCAGTGTCAGGCTCACCATGCTGGGCGCTTCTGGGAAAGTGAATGAGAACACAACCGTCTCCCTCCTCGTGCATGGTGGGCGCTCAAAGATATTTCCCGAGTGGAACCGGAAAGTTCTCGTGACTTCCACGACCCAGTACAGGAGGGCCCGTTCCCGCAGTGGACAGGACAGGACAGGACAGGACGCTGAGCTGCCCATACCCCTCCCCCTGGAGCACTCCTTGCGAGCTCGTTTTTGAGTCCTGGCCTGAGCGACCGGGCAAACCAAGCGCCAGTCCTCCCTTATTAACCGTGAAAAGGGGTCACTGTGAGTCGCATGGCTGACCCTGGCCATCGGGTCCCAGCAGCAGGGCTGAGGGGCTGGGGCTCGTGGCTGGGGGTGGGCTCCTGGATGTGTGATGATCGCTCTTCTCCCTCTTAATTGCTGCCGTTAGACTGCTTGGCTCAGGAACCACGGAAGAGAATAAAGAAAATGACCTCAGACCTTCATTACCTCAGTCCTATGCAGCCACAGTGGCCATACCAAGCGCGTCTTCCGCCTCCACGGTGCCAGGTGAGGCGTGGGGACCTGCTAGCGGGACCCTCCCCTCCCCTTCACGTTACCTGCGGAGGGCACGCCCTCCCCACCACGCAGAGGCCGTGGGAGGAGCCTCTGCAGGCAGCTCCCCGAACCCGACAGGCCCGGCACGGCTCCTTTCCCTAACAGGTTAGCCCTCGGCCTCTGAGGACTGGCAAACCAGTGGGAAGGTTCAGGCGCCCGGGTGGGGGTGGTGAGGCCAGTCCGCCCGCCAGCCTCTCGGGGTCAGAGACCATCCACGGTGGGAGTGGAACTCCCCCGGGTCCCCGGGCCTCCCCACCTCCCCCACCCCGTTTTCTGAGGTCCTGCCCTGGTCACGGCGCAGGAGGAGACCCCGGGCTCCTCTCACGTCCCCTTCTTGGTTTCCAGGTTACTCTGAGGACGGCGGGGCGCTCCGCGGAGAGGTTATTCCCGAACACGAGTTTGCCACGGGACCAGTGTGTCTTGACGATGAGAATGAGTTCCCCCCTGTGAGCATTAGGAACCCTTAAGAGAGCCGCTCAGTCTGTGCGCTTCGAGGGCAGCCTTGGCCTGGGCAGGAGGCGCAGGCACTCTCCCCCTCGGCTAGTGTAGAGCTAACCCCCCTCCCTCATGCCCAGAGGCCGAGTGAGTGCCGGTCGTGCTGCGCGCTGCCCACTCTGCAGGCCAGCCCGCAGGGGGCGCTCCACACGGACACTAACGCAGGGATCCCGGTGGCCTCGCTCGCTCGCTATCTCCCGGCCCGAGTCCGTGGCTTGGCTCCTTAGTGCTGTCTTGGCTGCGGGGTGCACTCTGAGTTTCCTGAGGCTCCGGGGTCGCTTTCGCAGGACGCTGCGGTCTCCGGACTACAGGGGGCGATCTAACAGGGCTGGGCCGCTGTGCTCTGCGGGCCGGTGAGCGGACCCTCCCCTCCAGCTGCAGGGCAGACCCAGGATCAGCGGCAGCAGCTACAGTCCTTGTTCACTCACGGGCAGCACCCCCCCCCCCCTGCAGCTCCCCTGGGGTCCCAGCATCCTGCTCCCTCGGTCCTGGCAGCAAAGGCCACGGGCTGGCCTGGCGCTGGGCTTGGCTTCTCCCAGCGTCCCGGAGCACACAGCAGGTCCTCTGCCTGGGTGCCCACGGCCGCCTTCGCTTCTGACTCTTCCAGCTTCCATTTAAGGCAACATATAGACGCCTCTTGTGAGCTTCCGTCTGAGGACAGCCCAGAGAGTGGGCCTGAAGTCGGTTGGAGACAGGAGCGGTGCTTGGGCCGAGACTTGGGAGTGGGGGGTCCGCTGAGTGAGTCGGAGGCAGAGCCCCAGCCCCTGGGCACTGCTTCAGGGCCCCTTAGTCCTGGTGTGCAGTGCTGCCTCCTGACCAGCACTTGCTGTCAGCGGAGATTCCGTGGGCAAAAGGATGGCCTGCAGGTCTGGCTTCTGCTTGCATAGATCCATAGGGCAGCCTCGTAAGCACAGTCACTAAGAAAAGGGAGGGGGGCTGGGCCCCCAGTGCATGGCTGGAGGGCTGTGTGAGGGAGTTGAACTCCCCTGGTTCCCGGGCCTCCCCACCTGCCCCACCCCGTTTTCTGAGGTCCTGCCCTGGTCACGGTGCAGGAGGAGGCCCCGTGGCTCCTCTCAGAGGCGGGCACTGCAGGGTGAGACTTACACGCCGGCTCCCAGTCTGCAGGCCCCCAGGCCCAGGGCCAACCAGGAAGGCTTTAGGGTAGAGAGCCATGGTTCTTAGAAATACTAATTTTTACCAATTCAAAAGCCTCTGCCGGCCGGCTGCCTCCATGTGCCAGGTGCCTTGCCTTTGGGTTCTCATGCCCCACCTACCCATAAAGGTGGTGCGTTTTTTTTGTTTGTTTTTTGTTTTTTTCCCATCACCCAAAAGTTGGTGGCTATTTACCCGAAGTTGCATCTTCCGGGAACCAGAGCAAGTCAGACGCAGCCGGGCATATAGGTGACGGGGAGGTCACGGTCTGTGACTGCTGCAAAGGTTGTTCGAGTCTTAACTGTTACCAGGGTAGACCTTGCCACCCCTTATATTTACAGAACCGGGTACTTCAGGTGCGGCACGCACCTGTGTGAAACAGTAGGTTCACGGGTCCAGCATTTGTTTGGAGTGAAAACAAAAACAACGGAGATGCTTAAGAGCCAGCCCAGAGGCCTGTCCCCGGGCACTGCCTCAAGATGGAAAAATGGTTTAAAAATTATGTCAGGGCCCCCTGAGGGGGACCCCTGAGGGAGGATCAGATCAGCTGTCAGATACCAGTAAGCCTCGGGGATGGGGAGGAGAGGGTCCTGTTCTTAGAGACACTGACCGAGGAGCAGGCGGTTCCCCATCTCCCCACACAAGGCCCAGAGACACGAGCATCTACACGGCCCAGCCCGGTCATGCCTTTCCCACAATCCCGTGCAGCTGGAGAGCGCAGACGCCTTCCTCTCCCTGCCTCTGATAGACGTATCTGTCCAGAATCCACACCTCGACCCACAGTCCTTAGAAACCCCCAGGACAGTGAGAGAACCCTGGTCCCCGCTCGGGGAAAATCCCTCTGTCGGCTGGAGCGTGGGCTTGCCCGGGTGCCGTGAGGTCATCACAAGCCGCCTTTCTAAAAAACAGACCGACAGGTGCCTGGGCACGCTCCCTCCCATCTCCCTCCCAAAGGGTTTGCTTTGCTCCGGGGAAAAACGAAAGAGGAGAGAGCGGATCGCCTCTGCTTCCTTAGAAAGACGCAGCCCCGTCTCAGGAGGGCGGCCGACCTTGGTTTCGGTAACCAGCCAGCCTTATGGTCTGCCCGCTTCCCCGCACGAGGCTTACTCTGGTGGGCACGAGGGAGGGGCCGGGACCCCGCGTTTACTGACGTTTTCAACAATGATGTAGCAGCCTGTGTTTACAAGATGAGCCTTTAAAAAAAAACAAAAAACCCGCAGACACACATCAATACGCTTGCAAGTATTTTCCCTGCAGTCAGTTCTGAAACGGTGCCAACCTCGCCCGCGCCCGGGCGGCTGCCCGCGGCCCGCGTGCCAGCCTCCCCCGCCCACCCCGCAGGCACAGACCTGCCGCCGACGCAGCCTGCTCCACCGCCTCTTCCCGGGGAGAGTAAGGCCGTTCTGTTTTGATTCCGGTAGATAATCTTGTGCCGCGGAAGTCAGAAGGGCAAAGCGAAGCAGTCATGATGAGACGCGCGCCTCAGAAATCAGGACACCCCCCTGTCAGGTGGTTCTGGAGGAAACGAGGAAGGCGGAAGAATGGCGTGCGGTTGTGGGCGCGGAGTGGGGGGCAGGCATCCCAGGTGCCGCCTGCTTAAGCCACAGGACGTGGCTCACTGCCCACCAAGCCCCCCTCGGCCCCGGCGGCTGCCCTTGGGTTCGGGAGGCATGGTATACGCAACCTGCTATTGAAACTCTATTGCAGCCCTGATGTCAACGCTAACCAACCATATTGGTCTGTAGCCGGAATTTTGTATTAAAAGGGGCATCCCTTTTCAGTGTATGCTGTGTAAAAATGTACCTATAGGAAAATGTCTTCGAATTGTACTTCTGTATATTACATACATAGAGACTATTTTAACCAGGCGAAGTATTTTTTTTTTTTTTTTTTTTAGTGATTGGAATAAATCATGTACTACCTTTGAGTCCCATTTAGGACACTAACAATAAAATCATGGCAATGCATTTTTAAGGCTCTGAACGTTTATTTCTTCGTGGCTTTAGGAAGCAGGAAGAACTCCTCAAGTCTTTACAATCTAGCCATTTGACCTTTAAAAGGGGTCAGGGGTGGCGGGTCGGGCTCTTCTGCTTGGAGACCTGGAGCCTCTGACTTTGTCTAGTCAGCACCCACACCACCCAAGCACCCCCAGGGGTGGCCTCAGGCCCTAACCCAGACCTCCCGGGTCAGAATCCGTACTTTCCCAAGCTCCGGGTGAGATTCGTATGCGAGTTAAAGATGGAGAAGCGTTGCCTAGATACCAGCTGGCACAAATCTCTACGAAAGTGACCAGTGAAACAGAATGCATTAAAAAAAAAAAAAAAAGACTAAAACAGATTAAGTGCCTGCCTCACGTGCCAGGTAATATATGCCCGGCACTTCTATGGACTGCCTGACAGAATCCTCAACATCAGCTTGCAAGGTAGGGGAAGTCAGGCCCAAGTTCAAACGCCGGGCCTTGACCCTGGGCTGCCTCTGAGCCTGTGGGGTCCCCGTTACAGCTCTTGGCAGCTGATCTCCCAAGCCGGCATGCGGACAGGACAGTGGGGGATGCAAGGCAGTGGCTTCCCGCCCAAATCCAGAGACCTGTAATGTGTACATCAGTAGAAAGGGTGGGTGTGCACTTGCCGTCTCATTTTCTGACGCTCCTGCTCATGGGAGCACGGTCTGGGAGTCGGAATGGCAGCGGCAGGCAGGCTGGTGGGGGTCACAGCAGGGAGCGGCTGCGGGGTCCTGTGTGTAGTCTGCTCTGGAGACGTTGTCCCCAGCGATGTCGTGCAGGACGCCGGCAAGAACCTCGCTGACTCGGGGCAGCACACTCTGGTACTCGGCACTGCCTGGGTCCAGAGGCATGGCTTCCGCAACATCCTCTTCTAGGTTGAAAATAAGGGGGGGCTCGTGGTACCGTGCAGGCCCCATGCTCCCATCACAGGCTCTGGCTCCACCTACAGAGAGGGTGACAATAGGGCCTTGTCAATCACAATTCTGCCCGTGTGGCAAGAGGGGAGACCCGGGACTGACTGTTAATGAGCTCAAACACACCAGCACGTGACTTTTCAAATGATTGCCCTCCCTGTCCAAGAAATGACCATGAGCATCTGAGTGCTCGTCCCACAAAGCTCCTGCTCTCTGGAATGATCTGGAACTTCTCCTTAGACTTGCCTTCAGAGCCAGTAGAACATGCGTACAAATGTCTTTCATCTCTGCCCTCTGGGAGTAAAATCTGTTTTTAAATGGATTTCTTGGATAGCAAATATATTCAATTATAAGCATCAGGCAGGCAGACGCGATGACTCATGCCACTCGGGGCAGAAGTTGAGATTGCTGTATGCATTAGGCTGGCTGAGAAGGCAGTCCCGAAGAGGAGGGACAGGTGCTTGGGACGAAGGCAGCATCCTTGGTCGTTAATGATTCAGATGACTTACTTTCTTTGCCTTTTCCATGCAAATAAGTAGTTAAGATATCTGACAAAAGTGAATATGATATAATGGAATGAACAAAAGGAATGAAGGCCAAGGACGGCCCTTGGAGACATGGGAGTTCGTTCCTGAAGACCTCCTTCGACTTGGAGCCCCTCAGTGGCCAAGCACGACTGAGTCAGAAACTGGAATCCAGCTGCCCCAGGGAAGCAGAGCTGCTTCTGGCACTGACGTGTGAGAGAGCTTTTTCCAACGGCTCCGCACACATGCTTATGGGAAACCCAGCTGTATGGTTAGGAGGGCCCAGCCGATGGCCTCTTCTCACCCCCTGTATTAACAAAGTGGGAGTGTAACACCAAAGCGCCAGTTGGTGAAGGCAGACCCCAGGGGCCAGGCCTCGGCTACAGCACACGGCTTTTCGTTCTAGCCCCATGTGGGCTGACCTCTTAAATCTCTGAGGGATACAATGAGTCGGTGGTGTGGTCTTTAGGGAACCGACCTCAATGGCTTTCCTCCTGTGACTCAGATTCAGGTTGTTCAGCTGACAAAGAGAGTCACTGCCTTTGCCTGGAGTTTGGGGTTGAAACAACAATAAAGAGTGGTCATGTGGTGTTGGCCATCAATCAAGTCTTCACTGGGGTAGGCTCCTCTTATGAGAATGAAAGACTTCTGCTGGAGCCAGTTTGGCTTAGTGGGTAGAGCATCAGCCCAAGAACTGAAGGGTTCCAGGTTCAAGGACACCTACATTGATTGCAGGCTTAGAAGTGAGACCACCCCTCAATAACCATTGGGTGAGGTTCAAAATGGGTCATACCTCTCCACAACCATTGGGTGAGGTTGGAAGTTGGTCCTGCCCCTCAACAATCATTGGTTGTGGTTGGATGTGGGTCTTGGCTATCAATAACCATAGGATGAGGGTGGAAGTGGGTCCCACCCTCAAACCCAATTGGTTGAGGTTAGAAGTGGGTCCTGCCCCTCAACAATCATTGGGTGATGCTGGAAGTACACCACGCCCCTCAACTACCATTGGGTGAGATTGGAAGTGGGTCACGCTCCTCAACAAACATTGGGTGAGGTTCAAAGTAAGTTCCACCCCTCAACAAACATCAGATGAAATAGGAAGTGGGTCCTGCCCCTCAACTACCATTGGGTAAGGTTGGCAGTGGGACCTGCCATTTAACAACCATTGGGTGAGGTTCAAAGTGAGCCCCACCCCTAAACAACCATTGGGTGAGGGTGGAAGTAGGTCCACAAGGCAGGACACAAATTAATTACAGAAACACAGATCTCTCTGAACAACCCCCACCTTTAGGCCCAGTCCTTTGGACCGGTCCCGCCTCCTCCTCACTGCTCATGCCCAATCTACCCTCAAGGACCTGGGGCAATTGTGTTATCCCAAAGCACTTCCCACCCCCTCCGCTTTGCTCCCATTACCAGGAGGCTCTATGTGTCTCTCTCCCAATGCTCAGACTGTGGGATGGAAACCGTAGCAGGTGTACAGTGAAGATCCCAGCAGACACCCCAGGATCCTGGCCACCAAGGCCAACATCAACAGGGATCAATTGTGTTGGTATCACGTGCCCTGACTCTGTGCAATAAGCATGCTCCACACATGTGGTGCTCTTCCCTAAACCCCAGTCGATTATGAGGAAAACATCAGAGAATCCAAAAGGCACCCTTCAAAACACAGGACCAGCACTGTGCAGCCACACACGGCCCAGGGCGGCCCTGAGAGGGGGTGGCTGAAAAGCTTGGAAAAGACAGACAAGAGAGTGAAAGCTGGGTCTCGGTGGGATGCTGCTTCCTGAGAGACAGTGCCCAAGCCCACAAGCAGAGTCTTTAGTTTGTAGCAGATGCCACGAGGCAAAGTAAGGACTTGGTCAAGATGTTTACAGCATGCTCAAGGGTTTGAATCCTACTCCATTACATGCACCTGATCAAACTCTGTTTACTTGCAGCCTACATCGCTCAGGAACGTGGGGTCACGTGTTCAGACCGTAGGTTCAAGTTTATAAGACTAGCTGTCGGGTATAATTGTGCTGGGAGGCTCTGCCTTCCAAGCTGGGACATGCACATGGCCAAGAGAGGACTGGGCCCTCTCATGAGTCCCAGTCTTGAACCTGTCCAAATGCTGTAGCCCCTCTCCCCACAGCACCCTCCAAGCTCTTCAAGGTCATTAAAAACAAGGAAGACTGAGAGACACTGCAGAGACGGGGCTAAATGCAGTGTGGGGTTATGGGTAGGTCCTACAACAGAAAAAGGCTATTAGTAAAAGACTAGGGAAACACAAGTCTATAGTCCAGTTCAAGCAGGGCAGCAGCATTCACTTGTTAGCTGTGTAGGTGCCGTAGTTATGGAAGCTGTGAACAACAGGAGAGACTAGCTATGCAGACCTGTGCACAGGAACCCTGTACTCACTATGCAATTGTGGGAAGAAATCTAGAATTATTCCAAAATAAAAAAAATTATTTTTAAAAATGTAATTAACAGCTCTGGCCAATTATGTTCAGTGGTAAGAGCATCAGCCCAAAGACTGGTTTGTGGGTCCAACCCCTCAACAACCATTGGGTGAGGTTGGGAGTGGGTCCTGCCCCTCACCAACCATTTGGGTGATGTTGGAAGTGGGACCCACACCTCAACAGCCATTGGGTGAGGTTGAAAGTTGGTCACGGCCCTCAACTACCATTGGGTGAGGTTGGAAGTGGGTCCCCCTCCTAAACTACCATTGGGTGAGGTTGGAAGTGGGACTGGTCCCTCAACAATCACTGAGTGAGGTTGGAAGTGGGTCCAGTCCCTCAACAGCCATTGGGTGATGTTGCAAGTGGGTACCGCCCTGACCCTGCTGGGATTTGGTGACTCCGCAGCACGTAAGTCCCCCAGGGGTTAGGATTCCTGTTTGATGGGGGTCATTTTTAACAGCCCTGGGACTTCCCGGTCATAGTGTGACTCCAACTCTGCGGTGCCGAGAGCCTTCTGGCAGGGCGCTCCCTTCGAAAATGAACTCGGCCTGGGGGCGCCGTGCCTCTGAGATAATGTAATGTAAGGACTGTAATCTGGACACGTTCCATCTGAGAGCGTCAGAGTCATCGACTGGTTTGCGTTTCAGGGCTTGGAGGATCAAAGGCGGCCGTGGCGTTTTTAATATCCTCCCAGCGATGAGCTCATAGAACTTGTTTTCACGCCACGCTCTCTCCCGGGTCACTTATCGACACTCCGGGAAAATCAGTTTTGTTCTGTTTTCTATAATTCTTTGGAAAGTTCCAACATGATTAACTTAATCAAATTGGAATCTGCAGCAGTTAGGGTTTTTATTTTTTGTTTTGTTTTTCATTCATTAAAAAAAAAAAAAAAAAAGTTAATGGTCCTTTTAGATGCAAGACTCTGTCCACGCACATCAAGATAACAAAGATGAAAGGGCTACGGAGCCCTGGGCTCGGAGAGCTTGAAACTAGTCGTGGGAGCCTGGCTGGTCTGGCTCGGGGGTTGAGCAGTGACCCATGCACCAAGAGGTTACCAGCTGGATTCCCGGTCAGAGCACATGCTTGGGTTGTGGGCTCGATTCCCAGCGGGGGGGGGGGGGGGGGGGCTGCAAGAAGGAGGCAGCCTAGGGATGTTTCTCCCTTATTGATGTTTCTCTCTCTCCCCCTCTCCCTTCCTCTCTCTGAAAAAACAAAACAAACAACTAGCAAGGGAAATAAAGCACGCACTTAAATGACTGGCATGTGGGCAAGAAAAGAGAGAAAAGAGAGAGAATGTATAAAGTGGAGCCACTTGAACCAAGCTGCTAAAATTAACATTATGAAGGCGGAGGCGTGAAGGACAGATATGTTCTTATTGCAAGGAGCCCGGGCCCTGGGACGTTTTGAACTTTCCAGTCCTGCCTCAAAGCCTGGCTGTGCGTCTCCCCCGGACATCTGACTGACAGCGGTCTTGGACGAATCCTCAGGACGCAGGACTGAGCCTTCTCATGAATGTGCTTTTCGCTACAAGAACCCTTTCTTCTTCACTATAAGAACTTCTTTCTTCTTTGGAACACGTCTGGGTGTTTGCCTAGCTGTGTCCCCAGTTTGCAAACTCTGAGTCCCTCACGTGAGTAAATCTTTACCACTTATTTCTAACAAAGCCTGCGGTCTCTCTCTGAGTCTGTTTGAGAATGTGACAAACATCAGATTTCTCCAGACCCTACACGTCTGGGAAGATGAAAGTTTTATGTTTTGTTGATTTCAGAGAGGAAGAGAGAAGTCTTTCTTCTTCAGCTGCCTCCTGCACACCCCACACTAGGGATGGAGCCTGCAACCCGGCCGTGTGCTCTGACCAGGAATCAAACCGTGACCTCCTGGTTCGTAGGTTGACACTACTAAGCCACTGAGCCCTGCATGCCGCCGGGGCGAGAGGGAGTTTTATGATTCGGTTTGAGGCCTTCAAGTTGAATTGAAGATGGAGGCTGAGGCCGTGGCCCTCGGAGATGACAGGAAGGGAGGGGGACCCAGGAGGCTGGGGTCTGAATGCAATGGCAGCGAGAAGCCCTGGGAGGTCCTGAGAAGCATCCTAATCCGGTATCGAGTTTCTGATCACCCACTGAAGGTGGCCACCCAGACTTCCATCGGTTTGCTAAACCGACCTCCAAACTCTGTTTTCCGAAATTCTCTCGTCAAGTGAATCACACTGTCAAGCATCTCTGAGCTTCTCCTTAATGTTCACCCCCTCGGGCATCTAAAGCGCAACAGTGTCACGTGGGAAACTGAACAGAAAGAACCACAGGCTGAGGTGGAGTCCCTGGTGCGAAGCCGCATCACCAATCCCAGACTCTCACCTCGCTCTCGGCAGGTGCAGCCTCTCCCAGGAGTGGGATCTTACACCCACCCGTCCGAAGGTCTCATCAATCCTGGTGAGGTGATCTGCAGGATAACCCCACCCCCACCTCGCCCCGCTATTCCTTCCCTCCCCCCAAAGACCGCTGTCCTAAAAGGAATCCTTTCCTTTTTCTAATAACGCCCCGGCCACACCCTTCTGCTATACAACCTTCCCTTCTGTACCCTGCACGGCCCCCCCTCACCAGAGCGCCCTTCTATTGGTTAGATGGGCTGCTGCCCAGTTCACGAATCACTTAATACAGCCAATTCGCTCTCCAGGTGCACTCGGGGGTGTTCTGTTAACAAACGAACCGGTCTTCAGGTGAAAAGCACTGTGCACCGAGTCGAACACTCTGAGCGTGCTGGAAGCGTAGTAACAGCAGAAAGACCTGTTCGCTGCGGGTGGTGGGTGCAGAGCACCGGTGCTGGGCCCCTGGGTGCTGAGCCTCTGGGTGCTGGGCCCAGGCTTTGGATGGAAGGGCTGGGGGGAGGGGGTGGAAGCGCTTCCCAAGGAGGACCACCCACACTCATTCCTGCAGGCCTGGGTGAGAGTCCCCACAGGGCAGGGGCCGGGAGCCCTCCAGGCCTGCGGGCGGGCGGGCACCTCCCGAACTCACCGGTGACGTAGAAGGCCTTGTAGCGCTCCAGGCGGACGGCCTGCAGGGCTCCGTGCTCTCCCGCCGCCCCACTGTTGGGGTGAAACAGCGCCTGCGGAAGGTGGTGGGGCTCACTCATAACCGGGCTCTCTCTTCTCGTCCCCCCAACCCCGCATCGAGGTCCGTTCGTCTGCTCCCCGCCTCCCTGCTTCGGGTCTTATTTTGTGGGTTAATTCATTTTGTTCGTTAAAGTCCACAAATAAGTGAGATCCTGTGGTACTTGTCTTTCTCAGTCTATGCCTATATGCATGGCCCACAGACATGGGCAACAGGGTGTGAAGACCTGGGGGTGGGGGGGAGTGGGCGGGATAAAAGGGGAGGGGAAATGGGAGATACCTGAAATATAAGGTGACCAGACATCCCAACTTTTTAAAAAATATATATATATTGATTATTTTACAGAGAGGGATAGAGAGTTAGAAACATCAATGAGAGAGAAACGTCGATCAGCTGCCTCTTGCACACTCCCTACTGGGGACGTGCCCGCAACCAAGGGATATGCTCCCGACCGGAATCGAACTTGAGACCTTTCAGTTCACAGGCCGACGCTCTATCCACTGAGCCAAACCGGTTTTGGCAGACATCCTGATTTTTAACAATTTGTCCCCCGTCCCGTGGCGTTTTAAAAAATCGGGACTTTTTTAAAACACCGCAGGACAAATAGTTAAAAACCGGGACTGTCCTGCCAAAAGTGGGACGTCTGGTCACCTTACTGTAATACTATCAACAATAAAAATATATATTTAGAAAGAAAAGAAAGAAAACCAGGCTAGAGGCTCCCTGGGAAGCTAGAGGGTCCCTCTCCCCCACAACACAGACTTCCCTCACCCCCCTGACCCCCTGCTCCCCCCCCTCTGCCCCCGCCCCAAACGCTGACAGACACCGGCCCGAAGTCCACACCAGCCCCGTCCGTCCGTCCTGGATGAGAATGATCAGAGTGGGTCACAGCTCCGGCCAGACCCCCGGGCCCAGCACCAGCTGCAGGGTTCCCAGCTCCGTGAGCCTGGAAGGAACCTCGTCCAAAACCCGAGAATCTCACGATGATGAGGACCACAGCAAGCGCACTCTGAGCCCAGCGCTGTGTGCCCACAGCTCTGCCCCGCCCGCCCCGCCCGCCGGCTGCCTATGGGTCTGGGAACCTGCCGGCGCCACCCGGACGCCCGGGGCCTCCGATCTCTCCAGCAGCCGGGCTGTCTTCTCACCTGAGCCCAGGGAGGCCCCGGGAGGCCCCTTGCCAGACCCTCTCAGTGATCCCTCCAGGAATGGGTGCCCCCTGCCCTCTGAACGGGGCCTCAATCCTGCTCCCCCGGGGCCGGTCCTCCTCCCTCCTCTGCAGGTCCCGGCTGAACAGAGCCCTACGGCCTGGAGACACCTACGTCGGGGACCCCCAGGGCAGGACCGGGCAGGAAACCAGTGGTAAGGCCGGGGGGTTTGGGCTGGACGCGGGAGGCCGCCCTGGTATGAATCATGACCGATATACATCACCGGGAAGGCGATTCTGTGATTCAAAGTTTCCATGGGGCAAAAAAAAAAAAAAAAAAAAAAATCAGAACCATCTGTGGAGCGGTAAACAGCTGTGCCCCCACCTCCCGCCCCGGGGGATGCCGCGGGGGCCCCTCCCACACCTGCCTCTCCCAGGCCGGCTCTCGTGACAGCTCGGCGGCTCCCCAGGCAGCGTGATGACAGCGGCCCCTTCCAAACAGGAAGAGAGGCCGTAACTCAAAACCCTGGCTGCTTCAGGCCAGCGGGAAGCCAAGCCCCTCGCCGCAGGAGGCTGTGCGGCTTCCTCCTGAGGCAGCAGGAAGCGGGAGGCCTGGAAAGCCTTCTGTCGACAGATGGGTGATGCGCTCCCACGTCCAGGAGACGGGGGCCGGCCTGCTGGTTCCAATCGCGGGCGGGCGGGCGGGCGCTGCGTCCCGGTCGCAGATGCCACCGTGTGGGCCGAGATGTTTGTGCAACGTTACCAGAGGCAACCTCACAGCCCCAGAGGATGCTGATGGGGGGGGTGGGAGGGGGCGCGCTCACTCAGAAGCCTGGCTGGGTTTCAGAGAACTTGTCTGTGCCTCTCCCCTGCCCCCTTGGAGCTGACGGATTGTATTCTTGTTTCTATCAACACGGGAAGGCGGTTGGCAAACCGACCCATGAGTCACAGCTGAGGGAAGACATTTTCCCCTCCGAGGGCGCCCGGTCCAAACGTCGTCGAAGACAAGACCGCCTCCGGGAAGCACGCTGCCCCTCCGCGGCTGCCTTCCCCACCTGCGGGCTCCGCTCTGTTCTGCTTTGTGTCTACGCACGCGCGCACCGCCTTGATGGGTGAGTGCAAAGTGGGGGCTTGGTGCCAGGCTGTGCCCCCTCCCCTGCCTGGCTCTCCTCCGTCTCCCTCCTTGGGGTTGCCCTCTTCTGCCAAGACACGGACAGACACAGCGAGACCGGAAGCAGCAGAGTGCCTCTGGGTTTGAGCATCGCGTCACAGGGCCCCGGCCGCCCGTGAGAAGACCGTTCGGGGGGGGAAACCCCATCGCCCGTGAGCCTGCCTTTCCTCCTCTCCGCGGAGGGCCCGGAGCGGGTGCCAGAACGCCAGGGGCTCTGGGTCCCTTCGTTTGTAGGACAGGGAAGAACCGCTGCTGAGCTACGTGTGCACATGGCACTGAGATGACGGGGAGCTCCTTTGAGCTTCCTGAAACCGGGATGGCTTTCTTCCAAACCGACCCCTACTAGGATCGTTGTAGGCCTGAGATGTGCCTATCGGTGGGCACAACCAAGGGGTGCTTATTTAAAAACACACATGACATGCACATACATGCATGTACATGTACGTAATCAGAGTTTTTACCGCGTGGCCTCCCTTCGGCCAATTAGAGATGGTTTGGTGCGGTGTCCTGGGTCGCTGACCAGAGAGATAAATCCAAGGCCAAATTCGGGCCAGGGCCAGTCACGCCCTCGGTGGCTCTCCATGAAGGACCTCATGAATGCGGCCGAGACCTGGCGCCCCAAGAGGCGGGGTGGTCACAGGGGTGGCTCATGCCGGCAAGCAGCCCCCGGCGGGGGTTCCCGGGCCCCGGGGTGCGGTCAGGGAGCAGCTCCGCCTGCCTGAGCTGCGTGGCCACACGGACGTTCCCACGAAAGCCTGGTGGGCGCTTTGTCTCTGGTCCTCGGGCTGAGCCCTGAGGGGGGCCTCCTGAGCCTGCGGACGTGAGGGAGAGGGCGAGCGTCCTGCCCTCTGGGCACGGAGGGAGTGAGCGCCAAGGAGCTGGCTCCACAGGCCCTGGCCACATCAAGGAGACCGCAGTCCCTGACGCGCTTCCTGGTGACTCCGATGAGTCGGTCAGTTGCCATGGTGACGCACACTCGGGAGCATCTCCCTGACGTCCTGAATGGGCCCCCAGGGTCACGTAGAGAGACTCCCACCTTCCTGGCTCTCGTGGCTCAGGGAGCGGGGCGCGGCCTGGGAGCGCCAGCTGCTCAGAGGGTGGGGTGCTCCGGAGAGAAGCGGTTCTTCTCCGGGGGCCCCGGGTGCGGGGCGGGGGAGAGTACGTGCCGGGCACCGGGCATCCTCTGACAAACCCCGGGCACAAATGAGTGCTCCCAGAAGCGTGGGGCTTGCTGGGGCCGGCCGCGGGGAAGGACAGCACGCTGAGCTCACGGCATGTGAGCCGCTTCCATGTGGCCCTCGGTAAAGACATAAATAGAATCGGACGCTTGGATGTGCGGCCTCTAACTGAGAAGCCCCGTGCTCACAGCGCCTTGCAAAGAGGGTTCCGGCCCCTCCCTCCTCCCCCCTCCTCCCACTTCCTCTTCCCCTTTGGGCAAAAGGAAGACTGGGAAATGACAGGGACAGGCCATCAGGCCCAGCATTTCCTGGTGGCGCCTCAGAGCACCTGGGGAGAGGACACCAGGCCCTGGCTGGTGTGGCTCAGTGGATAGAGCGCCAGCCTGCGGACTGAAGGGTCCCAAGTGCGATTCCCGTCAAGGGCACATGCCCAGGGTGCAGGCTCCACCCCCAATAGGGGGCATACAGGAGGCAGCCGATTGGTGACTCTCTCTCATCATTGATGTTTCTATCTTTCCCTCCCTCTCCCTTCCTCTCTGAAATTGAGAGAGAGAGAGAGAGAGAGAGAGAGAGAGAGAGAGAGAGAGAGGGAGAGAAAGAGGGAAAACGAACACCAGGTGCTGGGTCGCACCGCCCCGAGCTAGTGTGGGAGCTGAAGGCCTCACGTGCACCCACCTCGGCCGAACGATTAGACTCAAATACAACAGACATTCTGGCTGATTCCGGAAAGAGGAAGAAGGGAGAGGCTCCTCAAACTGGATCTGGAGTGGTCCGCCGCTGGCCTGCCTCCCCCAGGGGGCTGTTTGCACAACGGGGAACAGGTCCACCCCGGAGGAGCCGGGCGGGGCACCTGACTCCGGCACTTACCCTGTGCCCGGTCTGCGACCCGCCGAAGAGCACGTCGGAGGCGTCCAGCCCGTCGAAGTGGCGGCCTGGGGGCAGGCGGGCACCGGCCAGGGCCACCACGGTGGGGAAGATGTCCAGCACGCTGCAGGAGGATCAGACAGACACCGTGGCCCCGGCCGGCCCCAGACGCTCAGCCATGCCGTGGTCAAGACCCACCGCACAGCCCGAGTGGCCCACCCTCCGCGCCTGTGCTTCCCTCACGCTCCCCCCGGGTCTCTGCTCCCCCAGGCGGCCGAGCGGCCCAGCGGCTCAGCACCCAGCGCTGCGGCCGGGCGTGGCCTGGGCTCACACCCCAGTGCTGCCCCCTGTGCAGCTCCGGGGCCTTCGGCTTTCTGTTCTGTGAAATGGGCACGATGCCCCGGCGGGCGTGGCTCGGTTGGTTGAGCGTTGTCCCTTGCACTAAAGGTTACCAGCTCCAATCCGGGTCGGGGCACACGCCCGGTTTCTTGCTCAATGCCCATCCTCTGAGCAGTGATGCCCCGGGGGTAAGCACCCCGGGCGGAAGGGCGGGGTGTGTTAGTGTCCTTCTCCCGAGCGAACCCTGGGGACAGGCAGCCGGCCGATCCCGGCAGCAAGGGTGCTCCCCGAGAGCGTGCACGGATCCCCGCGGGAAAACACGAGGGTGGAGTCCATGGAGACACGCCGTCCTGCTACCGTCGAGACGGTCTAACGCACATGTGTCAAACACAAGGCCCGCGGGCCAAATCCGTCCCGCCAGGCCTTGCAATGTGGCCCGCACCGCGCTGTCATCACTGCACTCCGCTGCGTTTCCATCACAATGACAGTTTATGACTGTTCAGTAAACCATTCGGCCCGCGATTTAGGCTGGATTTTAGATTTTGGCCCCTTCTCTGATTGAGTTCGACACCCCTAGTCTAACGCCAAACGCTATCCTACGAGGCGCAGCTCGCGGCCACGGTGCTGTCCCGGGGACAGTTCCCGGCGCCCTCGGCGAGCGTCACCTGTACCGGCAGCCCCGAGCCGCCCCCGAGCCGCCCCACTATGGCCTCTGCGGCCCGATGGCCGACAAGCTGACGCGATTCCGTCACGGCCAGCGCCGGGTGCATCCAGGTGGAAACACCACTCTCGGGAGAAGCCGTGCAGCCTCGGTGATGTAACGGCAGCCGGCCTGTGAGCACGGCCTGGCACTGCGCCCCACGTGGGCCCCGTACAGCAGCCCGCCTGGCCCTCCGCCCGCCCGGCAGCTGACAGCACGGGACCGCAGGCCTCCTGACTGTGCGGGGCCGACCCTGAGTCCTGGGGCTCCCGCTCCCACTGGCATCGGAGCCATTCACCCGGCCTCCGGGCCCCTGCAGCCTGCTTTCCTCTCCTAACGCTGTGTTCCCTCGGCCGGGACCCTCCGCTAATGATGAAGAACCTGCGGAAACAAATTAGTCTTCCAGCAGACCCAAGCTCCCCGCCTGGGAGCGGGCACCGGCTGCCACCGCAGGCCCCGCTGTCCGGAGCACAGGCAGAGCCCTGCGGGAGTGAGTGAGTGAGTGAGTGAACCGTCCCCGATGGATACGCTGCCCGACGGCCACTCAGCCAAGTCCTGGCCCCGGGAATGGCCTCCCGGATCTGCCCCAATAAGGAGCTGAGAGCGCGGGCGGGATGTCACAGGCACGCTGCCCTCCTAACGCAGGCAGCACCCGGGGGCCCGCTCCTGGCAGAAGCTTCGTGGCCGTAGGACGAAAGCCCTCACTAAGGGTTCATTCCCTCTGCGCCAGCCTGGGGGCCCCACCCCCTCCCACCCCTCTCTCCCCGCCGCCTTCTCCCCCTGCCCATCCCCACCCTCCAGGGCACCGGGACATCTACACTCCTTCCTTGGGGCCGTGTGATTGCCGGTGAAGGGCTGGCTTCCCACAGCACCCCTCGGACACCTGCACCCCACCCCCATCACCACAGCGCCGACGATTCCTCCCACCAGGTGGGGCCAGGGCAGAAGGGAGAGGCTGTTCTGTTTGGCAGACACACCACCCGGTCAGGAGCCCGCCCAGCACCCTCTTCACTCAGACAACTGAGAAGGTCCCACCGCGCTGCTGCCCGACCAGCTGCCAGACCAATATCGGAAGGCAGGCGGGAGGAGGTCCCTCACCCACGAGCCCCTGAGATTTCCTGGTGGTAAACCCCAGGTCACGTGGGTCTCCTACCTTAATAAGGCGGCGCTGGTGACATTGCCGGGGACTCTGCCGGGCCAGTACGCCACCGCCGGGACCCGGTGGCCTCCTTCCCAGGTGGTCTGCTTGGCTGGGCTTCCCCCTGGAAAGGAGGGGCAGTGGGTGCGTTGACAGGTGACTCCGGGCTTCCCCTCTCGCAGCCGCCCTCTGGCACAACGGTCCCTCCCTCAGGGGGCCGCCAGGAGCCTCTGAGAACACAATAGTAACCAGCGATTTTTTTTTTTTACAATATATTTTTTAAAATCTTCACCCAAGGACATTTTTCCATTGATTTTTTAGAGAGAGTAGAAGAGAGAGGGAAAGACAGAGAGAAACACATCAATTGGTTGCCTCCTGCAGAAGCTCTGATCAGGGCCCGGCCTGGGGAGGAGCCTGCAACTGAGGGACGTGCCCTTGACCAGAATCAAACCCGAGACCCTTCAGTCCACAGGCCGACGCTCTATCCACTGAGCCAAACCGGCCAGAGCAAAACCAGCTGTTTTTATTCAGGTGGTTAATATCTTTCAATACGTGCTTCTATTTTACTGGACTCAACATACGCAAGGAGTGGCCTCTGTCCCTCCCTATTTCCTTCAGGACACTTCACGCTTCACATCGTCTGGTTTACGGGCTGATGGTGAATCCACACGGTGAGACTTCACGGCTCCCGGGCCCTGGACACGGGTACTTAACGAATACCTGGTAAAGCAAGTGCTCTGTCTTTCTACTGGTTATAATGGAATCGTTTCGGATGAAAATATACAATTGGCCCGGCCGCGACAGCTCAGCGGTTGACCTATGAACCAAGAGGTCCAGGTTTGATCACTGGTCAGGGCTCCTGCCCCGGTTGTGGGCTCGATCCCCAGTGCGGGGCGTGCAGGAGGCAGCCCATCAATGATTCTGATCATTGAAGTTTCTATTTCTCTCTCCCTCTCCCTTCCTCTCTGAAATCAATTTAAAAAAAAATACAGTTCTTTGAAGACAGGCAAAGCAGAACATTCCCCAGCTATGTGATCTGCCCAACGCCCCGCGCTGGTCTGGCCCGGGTTTCACTGTTGTCTTTGCTTTGCTTTGTTTTTCCCTGAATCCATGAGTTGTTCTGATGTTCATTAGTAACAGTTCCAACCTCTGGCCTCTCAGGAGGAGGCGGCGAGAGCAATCGCTGTGCAATCTATGAATTTCCACTTTGCTAACGAAGGGAATTCTTTCTGTGTCGGCCAAGGCCAACGTGACCACCGGTTTAACGATGACCGGCGGGCTGGAGGAGATGAGGTCATGGTTGATGGAAACATCCTGAATGCATGTTGCCTTGAGCTAACCGTGACCTCCCCACTCCCACACACACCCCACCCGCATCCTGGCTGAGCCAGGGATTCCGCAACGTTAGTGTGTGGAAAGCCCCGCCGGGGCAGGCATGTGAGGCTCCCACGGACGGTGGTCATGCAACTCCCCCGTCCGGCTGGCGTGCATGGGAGAGCCATGGCCGCGGGAAGGAGGGGCAACAAGACCGAGGCGTCTGCCCCGCTGCCCTTATGCCAGCCCGCCCAGCCCCACGGTCCTGGCCCTACATGCCACCCCGGAGACTTTCTCATAGCCGGCTTTCGAGTGCCCGAAGCATTAAAGTGACAGTCAACACACAGAACAGCTCCCCTCCTGGGACTGTTCATGGTCAGGGGCGTGGGGCTCTCAAAACCAAGTGGCGTTGTGCGGGCTGGACGGGGAGCCCTCTGGCCTGGCCCAAAAGGTCTCAGAGACAGTCTTCCGCACGAGAAGCACCCCTTCCACAAACACACAGAGCCACTCCCAACCACGATGCCCACGGCGAGAGGATCCAGGGCCACAGGAAGCACAGAACGCACTCCCACGAGGCTGCGGGTGCATGGCTTACGCCCCAGCTGAAGGCCAACGAGCAGGCAGGCAGGGAAGGTCCACGCTTGCCTGTGCAGGGCTCTGCAGAGAATTCCACACCCGTGAGGGGAATTTATGTGGAAGCCCGGGGGGGGGGGGGGCGCGGAGATGGGAGGGTCAAGTGGATGGACCACGGAATCTGTTCATTTGCATGTCCACGATGCACGCACTCCAGACAGGTCTGCTTGGCCGCTGAGGCCAGATGCTAAGGAAGGTGAAGCTTTAGCTGTGAAGTGTGCCGACAGTGCTGACAGCCAACCAGAAGGCGGGCGAGAGCGCTGTGCGTGGCGGGCGAGGGCCCCAGGGCCGGCCCGGGAGCTGGTCTCCGCCTCCGGATGTTTCCGGAAAGGTGCGCTGGCCCCGAATGAACTAACCGGCTAATGGGCCTCCGCCCCTGGGGTGTCTGCTTGTTTGCCACAAGCTTCTGTGTTTGCTGTTTTCAGAGGAGACTGTTTCCGAGTTTGCCCTACTGCAGCAGAGGGCTGAGAGCTGGAGGGGCTGCAGGCACCCGGTCAGTTATAAGACGTGTACATGCCAACCCAGGGCAGAGTTCACAGGCTCAGAGCTAAGAGGTGGCGAGAAGAGGGCTGGCTGAGCGAAGCCCTCGGCAGGTCCACTGGAGGGCCCATCCCTCTCCCTCCCCCCCACGTCTGGCTGCGCCCTGGGATGTGGCTCTCACAGAGAGCCAGGGTTCAAAATCCCAGCCACGCCCAGAGACCTTGCAATCGAAAGCCATCTACTATCTGAAATGCACCCGGGGTGTGCACAAGCAGTTATAAAAGTGTGTGACCACAGTCTTACTCTGAATCCCAGCGTCTGCGGTACTGCTGGGGGTGGACAGACTCACAAAATCCACTTGGCGTTTCCCATGGGTGCCCAGGGCTGTGGGGTCTGGTGATCAGAAGAACGTTCCTCGTTGTGACTTGTCGGCACCAGCAGAGGCGAATCCCAGGGGCGCTGCCTCCGGGCCCCCAGGACTGCCCAGTGCCTCCTGCTCCTACAAATCGGACCTCATTTCCAGTTAAACTACAGCAACACGAGCACCTCCTGTTCACGGAGCCCTGCCTACGCGCCGAGGTACCCCTGGGTGCAACACGGAGGGCTTCCCTCCTTTAATCTTTTCGATCACCTGGAGAGCCAGGTGCCTCTTACACCCGTTTTTCAGATGAAGAAACCAAAGCTCAGAGAGGTTAAGGAATTTGCCCAAGGTCACACAGCTAGCAAACTCGAGAGCCAGGATTTGAGTCCAGGTCTAATCACAAAGCCAACCCTCTCAGCCATTAAATCTTCTAGGACGGCGTGCCCACTCATCCCTGAATGCATGGTAGACGCACAAGGGGAGTCTTGAAAAATGCCCACGCCGAGGAGCCTTCCCCAGAAACCGTGACTTCACGGGCCCGGGATGCACGCCGGTGAGGAGTGTCCATTCCGGAAGCAGGAGGGCGGGGACACGGCCACAAAGTGGACACGAGTAAAAATCAAATGCAGCCTCGTGCTTTCAACCACAGGGTTTTATGCTGCCCACACCTCTGCACCTTTAAGACGGATGGTGAACAGGAACCCGTGAGTTGTCATAAGAACAGGTGAGCCTGTAGAATAAATGCCTACGAACTCTCTGATTCCAGAAGCCACTTCTCGGCGAGGATGAGCCCTCGCCCCCTCCAGACCGTGGCGCGCACGGGAGAAGCACTGGCTGAGTGTGGGCTTCTGCTGGGAAAGGCCGGCCTGCCCACGGGCGTGAGAGCGCCTTGCAGTGCGCCTGCGGTGAGCGATGGCTCTCATTAAGGCAGAGCCTCTTACTTAAAGCAGTAACTATTTAGCCCCAGCAACCGAAGGATAAACAGAACCGTGATTCACGGAGCTGCCTCCCTGGTCTTCCCTGGCTACGGCAGTGACGTGCCTCCCCCCCGAGCGTGGAGGCAGGGCCGGCCACACTCAGGAGCAGCAGCCTCTCCCCGGAGGGACGCAGGGCCACACTGAGTCAGGAAGACGGTGCGCACCCCTTCTCCACAGAGGGGGACCCCGGCTTACGAGGTCCAGGGGGACTCGGGGGCAGGGGGCCCCGGTGCTGGGGGTCTGAGGATGTTAGCAGGGTGAGTGGGAGGCTCCTTGGGCACCCGCAGACCCCAGGTCTGGCTCCAGGGCCATGCTGCTCGCTGGGTGGCCTGAGGCAGAACTCTGAACACCCGTCCGGCTCAGTCTCCGCGGCCACAAAGGGCAAACATGATGGTATTTCTCTCCCGGGGCTGAGCGGAAAGCTACAGAAGGGAATGTGTGTGAAATTCGAAGCAAGAGCTTTTGGCACGGTGCCTGCCATGAAGTGCCATCCACAAATCAAAAAATTGCCTCGCCTGCGTGGCTCAGTGGTTGAGCATTGACCTATGAACCAGGAGGTCATAGTTTGATTTCCGGTCAGGGCACATGTAGGGGTCTTGGAGGAGGCAGCTGATCAATGATTCTTTCTCATGATCTTTCTTTCTCTCATAATCTCTCTCTCTCTCTCTCTCTCTCTCTCTCTCTCTCTCTCTCTCTCTCTCTCCCTCCCTCCCTCCCTCCCTCTCTCTCTCTCTCTTCCTCCCTCCATCCCCCAAAATCAATAAAAATATGTTAAAAACAACAACAACAACAACTGAAAATTACCTACAGGCAGAGAACAGACGAAGTTGCCACCTGACGGCTCGCACACTGAGCTGAGCCCTCTGACACGTTGTTTGGCGAGGATGGTTTGGTTTTGTTTAAACTGATTTTCTACGTCTTTGGACAGGACCTAGTCTCCAGGGTCCTGAATCCCTGACCAGCCCACGCTGACGACACAGACACCTGGCCATTCGGATCCCTGCCTGGCCCGCGAAGGTGTCTGGATCGGTGGCTTGGGCAGAGAACACGCCTGTGCTGAGGCGTGCACGTCCTCCAGCCTCTGAACAGCCGGCTTCCTTCCTAAACAGAAACACTCGCGTGCCCTTGCCAAGGGTGCCCGGAGCTGACGGGCTTTCCAGAACCAAAGGGCAGCCAGGCCTCCTTGGGGACTGAGGACGCGGGCTGGCCTGGTGGGCCTGACGTGTGAAAATGGGGGCGTTCCAGGCCTGGTGACCCACACAATTCAACCCCCCTGCCCCCAACCAGAGCCAGCAGCCACCCCCTTGTCCCGTGCTCCCTCCCCCAGCCCACCTCCGACTTGTTTTCCCCTCCCCTCCC